CAATATGCTTATGCGTTTATTAAATTTGTAAAATAAGTATGTTTTAAAAACAACATGATATTCAAATTTCGTCTCTTTGAAATAATATTTGGTTACATAAACATTTTTCTTTGTTTCATTTGATTCTGTTCTACGATAGAGGAATAATTCAATTTAGTAGCTGAATACTCGTACGCTGTCAAATTAGTTTGCAATCTTGAAGACAGGTAATTTACAAACGAATCTATTCAGATCAGAGAGGATACAGTCAGCTCTCTACTACACGGAGATGAGGCGAAACAAGTTGACGAAGGATCCAAAAAAATACTATAATGAAATAGCTAGAAGCTGAGCTAAAGCATATTATAATCTGGGTCCGACCTCATAGACGTCGACAGTAAAGCCCCTCCGATATCGCGAACTTGAAGCCAATGACAGATAAAAGATATCGTAAGATCGTGAATCTCTTTACAGAAGCCAAAATCCACGATGGAGAACCCAACTTCTCTACTTCCATTTAGTTTCAACTCAATTTCAATCTGAGATACACATTCACAACACGTGAACCACGTTAGTGCTGATAGTGTGCGTGTTTTTATGTACTAAAATCTCTAGTTTACATCCGGTACCTTCCAGACTTGAGTTTTATTCCCAATTGTTCGATTTTTTTACAAGTCTACGCTGGCAATCGTACAACCGGCTAAAACGCATTAGCTATCTAATGGCTGTGGCTTAATGGCTGTGCCATTATCAATATGTTTTATTCTACACCTCCACACGTTAGGTTAAATTCCGTATTGCTTTAGAACAACGTCTGTCCAACTATTCAAACCAGAGTGCAAACATAATTGCATTACTTCAAAAATAGTATGGTAATATTCATTCTGAGCGCAACGGAAACTTGCTCTACCACCAGCTGCGAAAGGAGCTAGCGGGTTAGAAACTATGGAGATAGGTAGGAACTTTGATGAAAATACATATTACCACTTCGGGCAGATGACATCGGGGCCTGGAAACAAAAATATTATACCGCACCTTAAAAAAAACCTAAATCTTATACTCTCATTTCGTGATTAATAACTCTGTAAGTTAAATAAAATTTTCATCAACTATGATTACTAATGAACACACTACCTCTTACGAATAAATTATTGTTCCAAACAATAACTCATATTCAGCTTCAAACGTTTCAAACGATGTTTAAAATACTTAGCTACAATTAGCAGGCAATACGTTTTCTATGGTCTTTGTATTACTGAGTAACATTGATCAGTTTTGTTAAGATGAACAAACATGTTTGAAAAACAATAAAATGTATTGAAATACAAGTCGCGGCGTATCACGTAGACGACAACGAACAAAAACATGCTTTTCTTCGAACTCCAGCGGAAGGAAACAAATTTAGTTAATGGAGCAGTAGTTGTTACCCCACTTTCTAGTCCACGGGTGTGTCTCAATATGAAATATAGCGAAAAGTTTTCTTACGAAATGTCTTACTCCACGACACAAGGATATCGTTTAAACAACTCGGAAGCTCTTTGAATATTGGTCAATTAAAAATTAGGTTGAAAAATCAGAACTTATTTGTGCTTGAAAGGACGATCTAATAAGCCTTCTATACAATTTGAGGTATTGAGTAAAAATTTTGGTAGGTTTCACACTTTCGAAAAGATATTAAATGTAAAAAAAGTAAAAATAAATTAGTCTTGATATTGTATCAAAAAATCTCCCTTTTTCCGTTCTCTCTGCTTGTAGTAAATATTAGTTCTTTTTAGGTACTACTAAGATGCTGTATGACCTATAACATAATATAATTGAAACAAAGCTGTTAGAGGTAATTTAAAAACTAAAACTATGCTAATAGATTATGAATTTAATTAAATAAAAACAAACAAAAATATGCTGATAACGACGAACGATATCAACTCTAAGCCACTAGATCTAGAGAACTAGTTAGATATTTACAAAAAGGGTACCATGTCCTGTAACATAATAAAATACTGGAAAATGTGCATAATGGGCACTGCTACAAACAAAAACCTTTCAGGTTTCCTTCTCTCAGGAAACCGTTCCGATTATCAACCGAATCTAATTATGGAGAAATGTGGTCGTGAAAGGCATAGCTTTTGTATTACTCTCATTAGAATGTTTGTAACAACATAATTTGCATAAAATTTGAGAAAATAAAGCATAACATAGAATCTGTGGAATTTGTAGACAAAGTGACTTAAACGCACTTTCAATTATAAATATTCACTAGTTATTACTCAAGAAAATCCTTTGCCGAATTACTTTGAAGAGATTTAATGAGATGTTTACAATAGCGACTAATTTTAATACCAAGAAACAAGTTAATAGGCTTATCTAAATTGGAAAATCGAAATCTTAATGGAACTTGACTATATTTATACGTTATTTCATGGAAAACACCAGATTCTAAATTAACCTGAACGGTGAAAGGGCTTCGCTTGTTCAAAGCAGTTTAATTTGATTTTATCAAGTACATTATCTGTTTTGTAAGCGTGGCAACTCGGTATCTTAATATTGATATTCGTACTTTTGTATTGTAGATCTAGATAATAATTGCCGATGTATTTTTTGCATTTGCATTGCATTTTACTATACGCGTGTTCTTTAATGTATTGTTTCAATAAAATTTCAATAAGTTATGTCTACTTTTATACTAGAAGTTTAAATGTACTGTTACTGTGTTTTTCCTTTCATATTTTCGAACACATTATCGAAGCAGAAGCGAGAGGTATACCCGCGAAATCTCTCTATAACCTATAAAACGACTTTGGCCTGTCAAAAACTTCCATAAATTCTATACTGGAACGAACATCCAAAGCGTATTCGTATAAATTCCCCTCTCTGTAACACGAAGTTTCGTCTCTTATTCGTGTAATCACCGATTCGAGGAATTAGTGGATGGAATTAAGATTTACCATCCGACTCTGGAGTTAACTCCCCTTCACGGTGTTTCCCGAGCGCTATGCTAGCCTTCTGCAAATGAGGCTTGCGGAGAGTCCTCAGTAGCAGGCAGGGGCTTGGCTGTGGTACCCTGGTAACTACTTACCAACAGGCGGGCTGTATGGTAATCAGTCCACAAAGGAGAAAAGAATTGTACTTGATGTACCATAAATGTACCTAACCTTAAAAGCCAGTAACTCTGTTTTCGGAATCACTAGTCTTTTAAACTTCACTGCACACTTGCTTGCCTACAAATGAAAAAATAATAGTAAAAAGGACCTCAGAGAATAGAAAATATCTTACTAAGATTTTTTATGAATAGATTGAAGTGGTCATGTCTTAGAAAATAACGTTTCCAATCATTACGGTTGGGAACGGATACAATGTGCTGAACTATAATTTCAGCCATCTTCTCATTAGAAATGTGAAAACTTGCTTTCGCCAGCTGGTAATTTTCAAACCCAGTTTTGTCGTATAATTAGTACGAACTACTTACATATGTGTTGGATCAATGTTATTACTACGATGTCTATTACTTAGTATATCTTTTACTACTACTACATATTATTATATACTTACTATAAAACACTTTTCAAAAGACTTCAAGCCACACAATTGATGCATTTACTGTCATGTTTTTTTTGTTTTTACTAGTACAGATAATCGATCTCACAGTCCTCCTGATATAAAATTGTTGCCGGACCTATAGACAAAGCGAATGCCGACACCCTTGAGACATGAGGTCGAAGTCTCGATTGCATTGTACAACGGCTGTAACGTCCTTCAAATTTAAGCCCATAACCGCTTTACATATGTAGATAGAACTGTGGTAACTAACCTTGCGGGTTGACGATGAATCGATAACAATAACTTAAAAATATTAATTGTCACATTAAAAAAAATAAGACATTATGAAATGAGTCTAAATCGTGACCAAACAGGTACAATTCAAGACCCACCTCTTAAAAAACCGGACATTATGCTACAGCAGACTGCATGCTTCATGCACGTCTCGCTGCGGCGTTTTATGCTACATTATTTCCCGTGGAGCCCGGTTTATATTCCGCCGTTGTTACAGACAAGCTCGCCAGGAATACAAATTCTAGACCAACCATGAAACGCTTGGCAAACGTCTGAAATGTATTACACGAAAAATACTTTGGGTAAACCGAAGATGACTGAAGTGTTTGATCGGGCCGGAACGAATTTAACGCTTCGATTGTTTTATTAACGAATTACTTTAAATTTAAATGAAGTACGCAAGAAGTACCAGCAGACGCTTAATTGAATTTTAATGTAAATAGAAATTTTTAAAGAGAGTGCTACTTATTTACTTGAACGAAAGGGACATAATATGAAAGATGATCGTTTTGTTCAACAGTTCTAATCTAGGACTTTCTCATGTACCTGAAACAAACATACGTCAAATAACATTTTACATTAACACACAAAAAAATTTTTACAAAGTTACTGACTTTAATTTTGAATCTACATTATACTACTATACATTAGCAATCATCACCAATCACTAGATATTTAATAATTTCATAGCCAAAATTGAACTTTATTAACTAAGGTGATTACCGGTGGTAAGCCATAATGTGAGCCCGTATGGATACTCCTTATTTTTACCACAAAGGAGTCATGAGTTTCCAATTTGATGATTGAACATTCGTTATACAGTGGAGTTGTGATTTCGACGTTAAGTTTTGTCAATTAAAACAGTTTTTGTCACCTTTACGAGAAAAACAAAAGAGAAAAAGTAACAAATGGAATGAATGTAAAGCTTTAGGTGTCAGTAATAAACGTAATATTTCGACCATCAAAAGAACAGTATTATAATGTAATTGGACGCCACGAACATATTTCTAAAAACACAGTAAATACTTTTTTGCAAATAATTTACTTACTCAGATATAATATTAACTACTTAGACAACTAATAATGTAAAATACAAAAATATTTTAACAATATACCTATAACTAATTTTAACCAACCAATAAACAAAATATAATTAAAATAAATAGGTTTAGCTAAAGTATGTAGGTAATACATTTATTTTATATATTTAAGTAAAAGGACTAGTTATAGGTATAATTATGATAGGACGGAACAGACTGAAATAATCTAATTTTAAACGAAATACATAATTAACGTATCAAATGATTACAAAATATTAATTGAATAAATGCAACTGACAACCCAAATTAACAACAACCCTGATTCTACTTAACGAAAGCATGTTCACGAAATCCGAAACATCCCACAATTATAATTTAAAGTAAAACCGATGATTAAATTTCAACGGAAACTCGGTCCGTACTCAGATCCACACAATGCAAACCGTAATAATTTCTTTGAAAGTTTAATTTACAAGCGAAGTTGGTGACGCCGAGTGTTAATATTTAAATGTAATTCATGTCGGGTCCAAGTCCCCTAAGGCGTAAGGTTTCTCAGCATTTGTCCTGAGGTAGTAAATCCCATCCTTCCTGTAACAAAACAATGAGCGCCATATCTATAGTATGCTATTTATTTAGATTTTTTAACATACACATTATGAGTAACCGAAGAAAAAGTAGGATGTTTGGTATCTAAACTAGCACCAACCCATCTCTACGGATTGGATATCATTAAAGGCGACTAAAAGATTCACCAGAGAATGGGCACCCAATCTCTTCACGTGGATATCGTAAGAAACACTTAAGAGCTTCACCGCGAATTAACCAGTATGGACAGCAGCCTTCTCTGAGTATAATATCAACATACTGTGATCAATGCACGAAACGGTACCGTCTTTTCTAACACGCTTTAACAGCAATAAAACTACTACTACAATATCAAACAAGCTCACGGTTTCCTTATAGTTAAGTGACAGAGACATCAGATAGAAGTCCCAATTGTTTGTATAAGTATTGTCATAACCTGCAAACCGACGGATAACTGCTTCGTAGCAACGAGGAGCAGAATATCAGTACCAGCCTACCCGTATAGGCTTACCTTAAACTCTAACACTAATAAAAAAAGTACTACCACTACTTCCATATTAGGCAATACAAATATTCGTACGAATTCGTCGCCAAATATTGAAGAATGAAGAAGGAAGAAAATACAAATCAAGATATTGTTAAATCGAAGTAAGAATCTATGACGCCTGCACCAGAGTTCTTACCAAAGAATTCGCTAATTTTGTAACGATCTCAAAGAAGAGTTTTTTGTTCAATTATGACTGAGATAATTATAAAGTTGGATTTAATGGGCTTAGTCATGAGCTCTGGCTAACGCTAATGGGTTTTGTCAGCAACTTGTTGTGATGAAACAATGTAGTGGTCGGTTATTTTGTATTTTCACGGAGATAGATAGACCAACCAACCAGACCAACTGCCTCATTGTTCAGCCACTATTCTCAAGACTTCGATTGCCTGTCTTAAAGAGGAAACTAGTTTTCATGTTGTACCTTATTAGGTACAACAGGTATATATTTATCCAAAACAATTTCGATAATCTCTCGAATCAGACGCCAGGAGAACAGTAGATCTACCGTGACGTTTTCAAAAGCTTTGTATGCAAAATAATTAATGTAAAATGTACTTCTTATAATGTGAAGAAAAATTAGAGTGGGGACGACGATTTAATTTTAATCGTACCATCACACCAGATTGTAATATGTCAAGGGTGTCCATAAAATATTTTCAAATACACTCAATATTTTAGACGGAGAATCACATCGAGTACATAAACTTACATATGTTGTAGCCACTAACGCTCCTAGTGAATTATTTAAAAAAAATATAATACTACTAAAAGTTGCCACTTTATACAATATGTTTCTAAATAAAATAATTTTCATGGATTACAGTGTTCAAATTAACTTATTTATTTTGTCAGAAAATATATAATAATAATTTTTGATAGTTTTTTTACGAGCAAAACACATACAAAATTGGAGTCGGGACACGCAATAGAGGGGAAACCATTCCAAGAAGTAATGGCACCCTGAGAAGTCACACCGTAAATATAAAACATTCAGCAATTAAAATTGAAAGGAGACAATAAAATTTTATAGTAGTTAGCTTTTGTTGCTTAACACCGGACAACGTGAGAAATCCAACTTTGCTCAAGTGAATTTTCGTTGAAAATTTCTTTTACGGTTCATAATCTCTATGTTTTTCGACCGATATTTGAAAAGTTATGTGAGGAAGACACGCTTTGAGACTTTAAAAGTGCACGTCTCACCAAACACCAATACTTTTATGACTTTATTTATGACTAGTCTGGGATCGTATACCCATATAGGGTTTTAAAGGTTTTTTTATTCATTATACTTTACCACAGTGTCTTCAATGCACTTGACCTAAAATCGTACGCTTACCGCAACGTCACATAGACTCTATCGTGAACGAAAATATAATATCAAACAACCGACTAACACATATCACTAATGTTCGTGTATTTATCTCAATGTAGCTGTGGAAATGTGAAACTTACCCGTAATGTATATCAAAGCCACCCATGATAAGTTTTTCACCGGTTCCCTTACACGAACCCTGGTAGTACAGCTCGTCATAATTCTCACATCTTACTGCTGTGAAAGGCACGTCCGATATAATGGACTCCGAGAAGAACATGTGAGCGCGGTTGTGTGCACAAAGACCTTAAACAATAGAAAAGTTATTTTCACTCCTGCTTTCATATATTCTTTTTTTTAATGCTTTGATGGGTGGACGAGCTCACAGCCCACCTGGTGTTAAGTGATTACTGGAGCCCATAGACATCTACAACGTAAATGCCGCCACCCACCTTCAGATATGAGTTCTAAGGTCTCAGTATAGTTACAACGGCTGTCCCCCCCTTCAAACCGAAACGCATTATTGCTTCACGGCAGAAATAGGCGGGATGGTGGTACCTACCCGTGCGGAATCACAAGAGGTCCTGCCATTCGTTCTTGATTAACTTCTTTGGACCTGCCTCTAGATTAGTACACACATGAATACTATAATAATATAAGCATATAAGAGTTTGTTGAAGCTTTATAGGCTATTGATACCAACTTCCACTAAAACGTTGCTTATAAACAGAAATAAAAAGATACGTTCAAAGTGCAACTGAAAATCCTATTTGAGGAAAAATAATAGGTTTCACAAAAAACACCATTAATGGATCGTCACCTCTGTAATCGAAGCCGCATCCCGGCTGCCTGGTCCCTCCATTAGGATAGAAGTCAATATGTCCCAGGGGTGAGGCGAAGCCGAGGTAACCGCCGCAAGTGTGGATCACTTCCACGTGTCGCGCGTCATGCTTGTCGAGACGAGCATCTTTATTCCCCAAAGTGAATAGGGGTAATGCAGGGTCCAGACCTAAATTGCAAGATTAGGTAATAAATAACTCAATTTTTCTATACTTATCTATTTATGGAGAAATTTCATCTAACTCTTTTATCTTTTTATTAATATAATGACTATTTTCTTCTTATAAAAGTGGTAGCATTAAAGCTCTTCAATGCCTACTAACTAAAAAGGAAATATGCCATCTAATTGGATTGCTTTTGCTTATTTATAGATCGAATTTTTTATCAATATAAACACAAATTTTAGAATCTTTAGATTCGCTACTGAACTTGTTTAGCCCACTGAGCATCGGCCGGGTCTTCTCAGTGTTTCGCGACTTTCGATCCGCTGGTAGATTTTGCGAAGCACTGTTCTTGCTAGGGCTAGTGTTACAAAATTCTCTCAGGTTGAGCCCGTGAGCTCATCTACCCGTCCGGGCGTTGCTGAAATATCTCCTCAGGCTATCAGCGAATGGGTAAGGAAAAATATATTAAACTAGCATATTGAAAAAAAATAAACTAACATTACTCACAAGAACTACTTATACGAACCAGTGATAGTATCAATGGGCCCTTTCTTCACATAAGCCCCGGCTATTCCTACCACATGGGCACCTAAGCTGTGTCCAATAAGGTGCACATCGTTCATTGATACTCCTTCTCCGATGAGGTGATTAAGAAAGTCCGTCAGAATTTTACCCACACCCGCGACATTATAACTGGCTAGAATATAGTTTACGTTTGCAGCATTACCCCAGTCTACTACGATTATGTTTAAGTCGCTTACGTTTAGATATGCTGAAAGAAAAAATAACTTTATACTTTATATAGGTCATAGATTAAGGGGTAATAAGTAATACGTAAGTTAAAAAATATTTTCAAGTAATTTGGATTACGTAACAGTCAATAAAGTAAAAAATTTGGTAACTGAAAAATAAACATTAGAATGATATCAGTAATTTTTCTCTTATTATAAAATGGATGGCATTTGGTTTCACTAAGGACGCCATTTTTTTTAAATGACTGTAATAATTGAGATTCTCATGATTGCACATGCAAAACCATGTACATATATTACAATTAAGAGCAAATATTTAATATTGCATTTCAATATAAGCTAATTCTGTCTTGACCTATCGGACGAAAATCCCTTTTGAAATTAAAAAAAAAAACAGTATTCTTATATTTCCAACCATAGCTACTAGGAAACCGAAAATCCAAAAAGCCATATACAATTCTAATTACAGAAGATAGAGTCAGTGTCAAGCTTTAAACTTAATTTAATTTATTTACCTTCTTTAATGGACTCAGGCATAGGGCTGTCTCCGTGGTTTAACCATCCATGGGTAAGCACTTTCACCTTTTTGTTGAAATCGAAATTCGATTCTCGTAGCGACGCTGAGTCATTTATTTTGAGAACTTGATATTCAAAGGGATTTCTCCTGTAATTTGTACACTTTACTTGAATCTGTCTGTCCTCGGTTCAATGATAATCACCTCGCGTTACCTTACTAATTAATATTTCTTTTCTAAATCAGATTCTTTGTTTTTGTTTTCGCAAAAATACTTTGAGAAAAAGCATGTCAATCGTGTCTACACAATTACACATTTCTCAATACACGTATTTGAAACTTTTTAAAAGAAAACATTTAGAATAATGCCATCATAATTGACATTATGTGGATGGTAAAACTAAGCAAATAATAAACAACGCAGTCACGTAAGGAATTATCATTTTGAAGCAATTTAACAGACGGTCCCAGAATGCGTTGTTCAAGGTACATAGGAGTTCCTCTAATTTTAAATACAGAAAATTTCATTTCACTCTATTACAAGCGTCACAGTAGAGCTTCAGACCAATAAAAAATTAGAGTATTAATTTATTACCTAGTAAAAAGTCTGAATTCCACATCTTGCTGGTACACCCAGCCCCATAGTCTAGTGTCGTTCAGTATAGGGGCTGGCGGGAACTTTTGAACACTGGCCAACCACACAGGATCATAGGGCGATGGAGCATCCCATTTCACAGTTCCACCCGAAGTTATCGCTACGAAGATATTATTCAATTTCTTTAGGAAAAATCGTTGTTTTCGTAGTTTCAAATTGTAGGCACGATTATTGGTTACGGACAATTATTTAGGACTCGAACAACTCGCGTATTGAAGGGTACTACTTCACGTTGTTCCATCATATCAATTTTATCAATTATATCAATTTTAAGGCACATTTCTTGATCTTCAGACTAATCTGGTGGTAGGATCTCTTTTGAGTCCGCACGGGATAGGTACCACCACCCTACCTATTTCTGGCGTGAAGCAGTAATGCGTTTCGGTTTGAAGGGTGGGGCAGCCGTTGTGACTATACTGAGACCTTCGAACTATATCTCAAGGTGTGTGGCGCATTTACGTTGTAGATGTCTATGGGCTCCAGTAACCACTTAACACCAGGTGGGCTGTGAGCTCGTCCACACATCTAAGCAAAAAAAAAAAAAAAAAAGCTTCCTTATTTTTTTAGACTGACAATTTTGAAAGAGAATTCCAGAGTTTCTAAGTTCTACAAGAGTCTCTCTATAGTCTGCATAAGGTGAGAGAGCGCGAGGTAGGCCTTTCCGAGCTATTATTACTAGTGCGATTTCCTCAACCACCATCAAAGGTATCAATTACTCTCCTTACCATATCTTCCTACCTCACTTTCTCGGTAATATTTATCACAAAGCAAGGCATATTGTACTGGTTCATACTACCGTTCTGCGCATTTTTGCGCGAAACAGTAATTTTACTGGGCAGTAATCTTTCTGAGGCGGTTAAGAGTTTGACCTCACATTTGAGTAGCATTCGGATTATGAGATCAATGCTTTTGATATTTTTTTTAAATCACATGTGTCGTGAATTGTCCTTCTTAGTTAATAAAAAAAGTAATAATTATATTAAGCATATATTATTTAGAGAAAAGTAAATACATACGGAAAAGTATGGATATTTTTCGTCTCATGTAGGGCTACAGGCCAATTACCATGAAATTTTATCATACGGAGGCATAGCAGGCAGAAAAAAAATGTTACTAAAAAGTTAGTTTATTACACAATATATCTAATATTTCTTTCATTAATACGACTTTTACAGCTTAATCTCGCATTTTAAAAATATCATTATAGTAACATATAATTAATAATATTAATATTATTTTTGACTTCTTTTTCCCTTGTAGGCTCACGAGCATACGGCCTACCCAATGGTGAGTGGTTACCGTCGCCCATGGACTTCAGCAATGCCAGTAACAGAGCCAAGCCGCTGCCTACCTTCAAGTACTTTCCACAAGCCTCTTTTGAAGAAGATTTTGTGCGATTTACACGTAAAGGCTCATTATGTTTCCGTCTTGCAAAAACCGAAGAAAATACTTTATCTAACTTTATTGTTAAACAAGGTGATGGTAAAGGAGGTGAAGATGTACACATCTTTACAGAAATAAAAGCGAATCTATTTGAACTAGCAACGTGATTACCTTAATTATTTTGCAAGTCACACACCGTTTTCAAAATAAGCGCTTAAGTAAAAGTCGAGTAATTAACATTCTAGAGGCTTATATTTTCTGTCTTCCAAGACTCCATAGTTAGCTTCGAGTTTAAAAGGTTAGGTACTGAGGATGTAGATTTTATCATAATTTTTTTACGAGTAACGTACTTATATCAATGAAATTTAAATGAAAAACTTAAATGACTAATAAATAATATTAAGGATCTGTACACAATTACAACATTATTTAATTCGACAAATAATACGTTCTAAGAAAAACTTAGATACGCTGTAAAAGTCTTACTAAAACATTTAAAAAAGTAACAAAAAATAAGGTTCTTAAAATTTAAGGAACAATTAATGGTTAATGACAATCAAACAAAATAATAGACAAACCTGCAAAAAAGAAAACGAGCAACGGAATCATACCGTTTCGGTTTCCTGGGAAGAAACACCAGTACACGAACGGGAATAACCAAATTTCGGCACACCGAACGTAACTTGTTCAAACTTTAAACGTGTTAGAATGCTCATTTTGAAGCTAAATACAATTGGAGGACCGTCTGCGAGGACTCCAACATTTTCACTGGTCGAACGGCGCAAAGATAGAATTTAAATTTACGTAGCGGTATATCGCGAAGCATTACGATTCACAGAGCGGTCCACCTGCCTACCATCGATCATATTAATCAAACTGTGTCCCACTAAACTTTCTTGGACATTGTAACACGAGTCCACCTAGTCCATTAATTGGTCGAACTTATGAAGGTTTCTATTTTATAATTAAATCGATTACATTAAAAATTCAATACCTAGCAATACAAATACAAAAATCAGTATCTAGAGAAAAGTAAAAAAATTGCAAAGAGTTCCGTAGCGTTTTATATTAGTTCTCAGCTTATCCTATATAGTATATACCAATTATTTATATCACACTATATAAATTTATATTAAGCTTCGATCAATGTTTCTTGGCCGGTATTAGAACAATCGAACAAATTTAAGTTTAAATTGTAATGTAAATTCGTAAATGATCTACCTAATGTAATATTTTCATTTTATAATTTCCGATTTTATTATGACGCTGAGGAGTGCACGTTTGGGATGGTATGGACATGTGATGAGACGGAATGAAAATGAGGTTGTTAAGAGAGTGTTAACTATGAATGTGGAAGGATTTAGAGGAAGAGGTAGACCTAAGAAGAAATGGATGGATTGTGTGAAAGACGATATGGGTAAGAGGGGAGTGAGCGAAGAAATGGTAGGTATATGATAGAAGAGTATGGAAGGAGAAAACATGTTGCGGGCAGGATAATGATGAATGATGATGATTTTGACGCGGATAAGCTCAAGTTGTTTGTTATCAGCTTATTTTAACTTCCTTAAGTCATTTGGAAACGTGAGCTCGAAATCATCGAGGTATACCTAATAGATATGTAAAACTAGATAGCAATAAATCCAGAAAAACTCTCAAAATAATTGGTTGGTTTAAAAATGAGAAAATAATAATAATTTTGTGAGAATCCTGTGCGCCGCGGTACTCATACTTTGAGTGTGAAATTATTTGATGATTCATTATTTGAAAGCCATTTATTTAGATTACGCAACTTTCCTGTTAGAACCAAATAGTCTTACCTCTCTCTTTCTTTCAGCCCACAGACGTCCACAACTGGATAATCCGTATATCAAAAAATGAATTTTGAAGTGAAACTTCTTTAGGCGCGTTGATTGTAAAATTTAACTCGCGACAGATTCGTTACGGCTAAAGAGAAAATATACAATTTAAGAAGAACGAGAGTGAGCAAATACACGGAGCATATCTCGAACCACTCAACCGTGGAGACAAGGACAGGACAAAGCAAGCTAGGTTGTTTCTTTTAAGCACAGCATTCCCTATTAGAAGTGAAATTTGATACAATACTCCACACCGCAAATGAAGTTTTACTTCTATTACGTGCAACATTTTCTAATCTTTACTAATATTATGGGTTAAAGTATGAAATTGTCGATTTGTTCTGAAAAATTTAAATTAATTTTTTTTTCTTTTAACATATTATTATTTATTTAACCAAAATATCTACCATAATTATCTATACATTGCTGCCATCTAATAGGAAGGTCATTTATGCCTTTGCGATAGAACTCTGGTGATCTAGATTCTGCAAACTGTGTCAAAGCATTTAGTACTGCCTCCTGGGAAAAAAACTTTTTATCACGTAGAAAATTGTCCAAATCACGAAAAAAATGATAGTCCGATGGAGCAAGGTCTGGCGAATACGGAGGGTGACGAATGATTTCTAATTGCAGTTCCTGTAGAGTTAAAACGGTTTCTCGTGCAGTATGAATGTCTCGCCTTATCATGAAGCATAAATCGGGGCTGTTTCACTGCAAGTTTTGCTATCATTGTTCGGAGTTCAGCACAGTAGACATCTGCCGTTATTGCTTCCCCAGATCAGAGAAAATTACAGTGAATAACACCATGCTGAGACCATTTACTATTACCTTTTTATTGGTAATATTTGCTTTAGGACACTGTTGCGGCGTCTGACTTGGGGTCAGCCATTGCATTTTTAGCTTACGGTTATCGTAAAGAATCCACTTTTCATTACATGTCACAATTCGATCCAATATTCCTTCATTTCTGCATCAATTCAACAATGTAACACAAGTTTCAACACGCGTTTCTTTCTGCAGATCAGTCAAATCATAAGGCACCCATTTTTTTATTTTTTTTTTATTTTTTTGATTTGACGCAAATGAATCAATATAAGGTAACGTTAAACCATGCCGCTAATTCCTTGTTAGTTTGGCTCTGATCGGCTTCCACCATATCTTTCAATTCATTTTTATTCACATGTGTTGGCGGTCTTCCACGTGGTTCGATCTTCAAGTCAAAATTTCCATCTCGAAAGCATTTAAACCAAAATCGCAGGATGCGTTCATTAGCAGTCCCAAATTTTTTAAAAGAAGAACCTCATAAGTAGGTACCATTTGAAAAAAAGGAATGTGTGGTATCGTGGGACACCGGATAGGAACGAAGTTCCTTATTATAAAAATATTAATTTTAAGTTCTATTCGAGGTATAAAGAGAGTAATTATTCGGGTTCTTACTGGTTGTAGGACCTCTTGTGAGTCCACGCGGGTGGGTACCACCACCCTGCCTATTTCTGCCGTGAAGCAGTAATGCGTTTCGGTTCGGGCGGGGCAGCCGTTGTAACTATACTTGAGACCTTAGAACTTATATCTCAAGGTGGATGGCGCATCTACGTGGTGGATGTCTACGGGCTCCGGTAACCACTTAACACCAGGTGGGCTGTGAGCTCGTCCACCCGTCTAAGCAATAAACAAAAATATTGTCAATTCGAAGTACCTATTTTATTAAAACGGCAATTTCATACTTTATTATTGATATAAAGCTGAAGAGTTTGTTTGTTTGTTTGGTTGAACGCACTAATCTCAGGAACTAGTTACTGGTCCGATTTGAAAAATTCTTTCAGTGTCAGATAGCTCATTTATTGAGGAAGGCTATATGAGTCGACTATTATCAAAGCCAGCAATGTGACTTTTAACAATTATTGGTAAATCAGAAAAACGAACTATTGACTTTGTATTCCATTGGCAGTCACAAAACTCTTCTGAACGACATCTTAGATAAATAACAGGTTAAGTTAATACTTTATTTAATGCAGGTTTTGAACCGTATTCTTTGAAGGAGACGATTATATTCAAATCAATCTATATTGCCATATCAATAACATTTTTTTGTCCAAATGCACAGATTGCCACCTTTGATAATAGACGACTCATATAAAGCTTTATAACATCACGTTAAGACCAACACAAGCGTGGCACCAATAAAGAATGTTTCAAAATCAGGGTTATTTTCCCTTTTGAGAGCTGCCGCTGCGTGCGCTGCGGAAACGGTTAAAGTTTTTCTCTTTTAAAAAAAGTCCGCAACAGCATATGTCTATATTTTAAGGTTAACTCAGTATAACGTTTTTTATGGTAACCAAATATGTTCTAAAATAAAGCATTATTTGTGAAGGTGTTTTTATGAAGATGATATTAATTCCTATCCAAATAAATACGTTATTCATTACAAGTATTTCATTTTAAAGAAATTTCCCGTCACTTGATTTGAATGAGTAAGTATCTCGCTATGAGTATTTTAATGAGTATGAGAAAATATCGCAGTTTTAAAATAGCATCGCAGCAAAATAATGATCAAGATATTAAGTGTATAATCTATGATCAAGAGCGTACAGGCGTAAGGCCGCCGAGCAATGTGACCAAAGTAACCAAGAACCTTCTGGTAGCAAATCGTCGACAGTCTCCTTTCTATACGAAGTTGCTCGAGGACAGATTTGTTTGTTCTCTTGGCGGTCCACGGTATTTATTATCTATATCTATACCCGATCCTGTGGACCGAATGGTTTATAAACAGATGACGTCGCCCTAAACACATCATTACGGATCCACTAACGGTGCTATTAGGTACCTCAAGCACCGGTCATCGTTCTCGTCGAACCCGTGGCTTGCGACGAAGGGCTCGAGGAGTAAATTAACCCACAGACACAGCCCATCGAGTTTCTCGCTGGATTTTCTCAGTGGGTCACGTTTCCGATCCGGTGGTAGATTCTGCGAAGCACTGAATTGCTAGGGTTCGTGTTATCAACGTCACGTTTAATCCCCGTGAGTTCACCTACTAGTCAAGGTTACGCTAATATAGCCTCTCAAGGCTATCAGTTTAGATAGGAAAAAATAAAAAAAAGTAGAGTACTCACGGAACATCTTCCTCCTCATCTATGGGCTCGCTCTCCGCCTGTATGCTCTCCATGGCTGTCGAGTGCGCGACCAGACGCTGTCGGTTTATCGATCTGGAAACACACAGACCTATATATATAAACGGTAACAGATAATTAATATCTATACTAATATATAAATCTACAGTGGTATTTACGGATGTTCCGTTATAACTACTGAACCGTGCATCCGATTGACTTGAAACTTGGTATCCATGTAGAAAATATATGTAATTAAGGGATAGGCTAATATTTATATGAGTGTTGGACTCCCTACACCAGTTGCGGGGGCCGTTAATGATGAGAATTTTTGTGGGGGGTAAGAAATAATAATGATAATTTTAAATGCCCAGCGAAGCGGACGGGTACAGCTAGTATTAAATATGAATATTAACACGCTGACTGCCGCGTAGGTTACCAGTCCCGACGCGGCGCCCTGACACGATTACTGTCGATTTCTGTTACTGAGGCGCCTGGATTGTCTAACTTTGCCTTCTTTTCTTTGTTAATGTGTGTTTTAAATCTTTAGGTTACCACAAGCACCGGTCACCGTCCTCGTCGAACCCGTCGCTTGCGACGAAGGGCTCGACGAACGAATTAACCCATAGACACAGCACACGGAGTTTCTCGCCTGGTAGTGTGTGAAATGTTTTTTTTTATCGATTTAATGTCTTTTTTATGCATAATTTAATAAAATATTAACATTCTGTACACTCCTTCTTTATATTCACTCATATATAGATGTATTTTATACATGGATACAAAGTTTCAAGTCAATCGGATGCATGTTTCAGTAGTTATAACGGAACATCCGTAAAAACCACTGTAGATTTATATATTAGTATAGATGATGATACAATATTGATGTACAAGGCGCCGGCCAGCCGGAGCGTAGCGGCACAGAATAAGAAGAATAACAATAAACACCCACATCACTTCAAGATAGGCTTTGAAAATTATAGATTTTTCTGGATTTCCAGGATCCCAACATCAGATTTTGATGATTATGTACCGTTCGAGAAGTCTACCCTTTCGAAAAAAAAAAGAAAAAGAATTATCAGAATCGGTTCAAACATTCAACAACATTTTTTTAAAAAGATTTTATGACCTGGTAACTGAGACCTTTAAGTCATGTCTTATTTTAATTTATATTATTCATATTTTTATGAAAAATGATATTATGGAGTGAAATAAATATGATTAATTTGAGACACTAATCAACTGGGATGAAATTAAATGAAATGAATTGAGATGATATGGGATGAAATATAATCGCAGTAAAATGGTGGTCATTTCCTAAGATTTTTTCAGTGGACTTTTTGGAGGATCCCGAGAAGTTACGTCCAGCGGCTTTGTTTCATTTTCCCACATTTGTGCACTTTCACAGATATTAAACAGTTAATAAACCACCATTATTACACATTTAAACCTGAAGAAACACTAATTAGACAAAATAAAACAAATCACCCAACTTCACTCCTCGCGTTCCCGCCAAAAAGTCCCCTTCCTGTATTGGAAAAACGACACAAAAGATTATACACTAATATTTACCAATACTAGGCCCTGTGCCTAAACATATCTCTATTTAGTCTCGAGCCACTGATAATGGCCGTTTTCCAATTACAGCACAAGAGACAATTAACAATTACAATTACAAGACAATTAACCATTACTCAATGGTAGTTTTCCAATTACAGAGCATAATGCGACTCAGTGACGCACAATGCCGAATTATGCTGAAGCTTAGTTGAGCATTATGCCGCATAATGCGCTCTTGTGCTGTAATTGGAAAACGGCCAATATTACACTTGTCCAAATCAGTGTCTCAAATATATTAAGTGTATAATCTATGATTAAGTGTATAATCTATGGTCCAGTCGTCCCCCGCTGAATCGGCCTGATAAGATAATTCATGTCCTTTAAAAGCTGCATGTTTAATATCCCGAGTATATCAATAACTTCTTCGAATAACTAGTTATTTTATGATCTGAATATACATTTATTTTAGTGTATTTTAAAGTTAACACTAAATATCAATAGGCATTTAATTCATACTCATAGTACTTACCAAGCTGTGAAAGACTAATTTTGATCTAAAACAAACGTGGTGGAATACTGTACATAAAACAACGTTAACGATGAAAAATTCGAAAATATTGGAATTTTTGGAATTGGTAGGGCGCCTTAAGGTGAGACAGTTTTTTATTCCACACGCAGTCAAGACGAGCGGCCTATTTGTTGTTAAATGGCCATCGTCGCTCGTGGACATCAGCAATTTTGAACCCCATATATGGCTCATTTTAAAATTTTATTTGAAGAAAAACGACCATTCAATAAGGTATAAACGGATAAGTCCTTTGTGGACAGCACAGAGGCCAGGTCGTGACAATGGCATTGTCGATGTGCATTAAGAGGTGACCATTCACCATTCAGTGGCCGTATGCCCGTATGCCTATTAAGATAGTAGAAAACTCAGCCTGATTTGGTATTTGGTTTATTTATTGTTCTAATTATGATAAAAAATATTTTTGTACCATTCCCAATCAATTCATTATGTAATTTCTTGTTACAAACATTTACATTACCAAACCTCATCATATTCCTCATACCATACCTCAATTTACATTACAAAAAAATCATTTTCAATTCCTTTGTCAAAATTTTTATCTACCCTCTGATTTAACCTCTATTGACTGTTATTGATTGTTATCTCTTAATAGATAAAAACAGGAATATAGAATTTATAGAGTATACATTAATAGTGTCTTAACAGTAAAGTAAGTAAATAATGTATTCCCTAAGATCAATTGTAGAGCCGAAGGCAGGTCGATCTTAGTTTAGTATAAAACTTAGACTAAAAAATAAATACATATATAAGTATTCTTTCAAGCTACTGAAGTAATTCTTAAACCAATATCTACACGGTTCTATCAAAATTAATGTTCAACAATTTGAGGGCTGCCTCTGTAGGCAGTGGTTTGGCTCTGCTCCTGGCATTGCTGAAGTCCATGGGCGACGGTAACCACTCACCATCAGGTGCGCCGTATGCTCGTCTGCCTACAAGGGCAATAATAATAATAATAATTCACCTGACTAGAGTGGTGTAAAATCATAGTTAAAACAAATTCACACAGGTATTATAGTGAAGAGCTATCTATCCCATTCACCCCTTTCCATATCATTTCCATAATACGGTGGGAGTTTCAGCAATATGTGAGCTTACTATGTGCATCTAACTTCCAGGGCCATGTACATACTCTTCAGATTTGAAATTGTGTATAGTATATAAATTATATATGGAGATAGCTGCGATTTTTCATTAGCATTAATGCATGTGACTACATAACAAAATCAATTAGTACCAATGAATCAAATTAGCAAAAATTGGTAAAGTAACATTATTTTGTACTATAATCAATACAACCTTATCAATCTGTTTCAGCATGTCAAAAGAACGGGTTGGATCCTCTGTGATATTAATGATTGTGAGACAATAGCCGGCCACATGTACAGGATGGGAATCATGACATTCTTACTAACAGAAGAAAATAATCCTACTAAATTGGACAGATTAAAATGTCTTCAAATAGGTGAATTGCCATTGCGAACAATATTAATTTAACATATTAATGCTCAGCCTACCATTTTAACATATTAGAAATTTATTTAAATAGAATCAGGTGGACCACAGACATGTATACTTTATGTGACAATCAAAAATGATTTTATGCTGCTAGTTACTTCCATATATCCAGTATTGACTTTACATTATGCTGCTAATATAATTATCTCTCTCCCTTAATGCTAAAAAAATATTTATTTATATATTGTTGTTGCGTGCAACCTCTTTGACAGGACATGTGACCTACAATAAGGGAACGTACCCATACTACGTGACCCGTTTAGGGGGGTGAGCGGAGTCTTTAAAATACTACGGTCAGTCACAGGAGCAGGGGGGTGGCTCAGGTTTTTGTCACATACTCGATTTTAGTGAGAGAATGTTGTTCTTTTTTATAATACATAATTCACTAGTAATTTAAGTGTGCATGCAGTCTTATGCAATAAAGACGAGTATGAACCAAATTTTTTTTTTCAATTTTTGCCTGTGAAATGTTTAAAAATCATAATTATGAATTACTACGTGAAAACTAAAGGGGGAGAGGGGGGGTCTTGACATATACTACGAGTGATCACCGAGGAGAAGGAGAGGTCGAAAAAACTAAAAAAATAGGTCACTTAGTATGGGTACGTTCCCTAACAAGAAGACATAGACTGGAGACTTGGCATTGTGATTTTTTTTAGACTTAACAAGACCACAGAAAAAAAGTAAAAATGGTTGATTCTATTATTTCTAAAAACAAGTATTAGAACCTTATTACCTTAATGGAGGACAAACAAATGAACTGACTGTTCATATACAATTATAGTGAAGTGCTAATTGCTGTTTCAAAGCTCTTATTTGTGGTGAGGTATCATATAAGCTCCATTCCAGCATCCTCATTCTAATTTGAGGTGTCAAGGCCATTACATGTAGCAATATCAATTATATCAGGTAGAGTTTCTTCCTTTTGTATGGTAAATCTCATCTGTTGTTTTTATAAGCTTATAGTATTATGAGTTTCTGTATGGTTTAAGTGATGAATTATAGTCATTAGTGCCTAGTGACATAGTTTACAACCAATAGTCTAAATAGCTTATCATATAATTATCATACTTTTGTGATTTACAGCTCTCATTCACGACTTGGCTGAGTGCATTGTTGGAGACCTCACACCTCACTGTGGAGTGAGTCCTGAAGAAAAACACAGAAGAGAAGATGAGGCCATGAAGACAATTTCAGGACTAACTGGAATTGCTGGTGATAGAATGTATGAATTATACAAAGTAAGAGAACAATTTATATGATATATGTAGAAGGACATATTTCTTTTTTAATGGCACATTTTTGCGACCATAAATAATGATTTTACTATGCTACAACAGGATGTGTATATTTTAAAGTACAGTCGACAAGAAGGGTAATTGAGATAGCAAAATAATAAGAACAGTGTTTATTTTACTGTTTTGACAAAATTATTTTTAATGGCCTTTTCAATTACTTAAAATTTATGCAATTTGCTTAAAATATTATATAATGAAAAGAAAGCCTTGCCAGATGGCAGCTTGGTTGTGCCCATAGCAATACTGATGTTTATGAGTGACAGTGACTCCTTAACATCACTTGGACCTTATACTTATTTACCTATATTGGCAATGAAATACTAAAAGATGTCTTAATTTTGCCAACACAAGGATCCATGAATATAGGAAGATAAGATTGAATTCCGCCCACACTTCACTGTGAATGTCAATAAATATATTAATACATAACTACTCGTTCACCTCTTATTGTATGTTGTAGTATATAAGAACTTTCGACGAAATGCTAGTAACGACTGCTTAAAATGTAGTGCGTCATTTTACACGCTAACAACAACACAAAACATCAAAAAATATATAAAAAGATAATTGTCTCAGTCTGTCATTAATTATTATTTTATTTTTAGGAATACGAAGACCAAAGTTCACCTGAGGCTAAATTTGCTAAAGACTTGGACCGTTATGATATGATCCTACAAGCATTTGAGTACGAAAAACGTGAAAATACTCCAAAGAAATGTCAAGAGTTCTTCACTGCAACAGAGGGAAAATTTGACCACCCGTTTATACAGGATTTAGTCAAAGAACTGTACTTGCAAAGAGAAATCTTTGAGAAACATACCGTTGTCAATGGTCATGTGTAAATGCATAATTATAGTACATAACTAATATGAAATATGATTCCTCAATGCATAATATAATTTTGTCTAGCATGGCTAGATGTGATGGCTATAGGCTGCCTATGTATTATTTTTTATCTGTTATTCTTTTCTAAATGTAGGAAATTATTATTGTTATAAAGGCTAACCTTTTAAAGTTTCTCAGAAACTGATGCTTTCATAATAAAAACTTTCGTTGCTAAGCACATCATATTAATTGTATTTAATTACAAATACAGTCAAAATCTGTTATAACGACATCGAAGGGACTGCTCAAATTCAGTCGTAAAAACCGATAGTCGTAACAACCGGTGATGTTTAATGTGTATCGTGCAAGTACAAACTAATCGATAGGGAATTATTGGAAAAATATATTTATACAACAACGTACATTTTGTTTATTACGCATAAGTACAATGCATATTATTTTTCTTTGAGCATAAAATCTGTAATTTTGGTCTGTTTGGAACACTTCAGCCGTGCGTAGATATTTTGTAATTCACGTTGGATTTTAATTAACGTATCGTCATCGCTCTTTCCAAATGGTTGAAATTGTCGAGTGTAATAACCATATTCCTTTGCTAAGTCTTTGTTTGAAATTCCGCTCTTTAGCTTGGATATAATCCGCGATTTTTCTTCAATATTAATTTGTTTTCTTTTTCATTGCGACATTTTTAAAGTTTCACGAATAGCTCCACAAAGTTTTGATGCGTCTGGTGTATAGATAAATAACAAACTAACTGAAGAGATATGAAGAAGCGGGCTTTGACTCTACTGCATGCACGTGTTTTGTTTCTAAGAATTAGAAAAGACCCTACACTAAACTAAATACTATTGTTTTCTTTCCTGATTTTAATATCCATTGAAGACAAATGTGGATACCTATTCAAATTGTTTACAATACAGCTTAGCTGGTCGTTCTAACAGATCTAATTCTCCGAAATATTAGTTAAATGTAGTCGTTATATGAGGTATGTCGTTATTAGCAATGTCGTATAAAGCAATGTTTTTAATAAGGCGGTCATATGGCATTCAGCCGGGTCCTTTGTTCTAGGTTATTATAACCGGTATGTTGTTCTAAACGATGTCGCAGTAAACGGTTTTGACTGTATTTAAATGTTACCTTCAAAAGTAAATGACAAAGTTATTGTAATGTTATTAATTATAAGTTATTAATACATATTACTCTCGACATTAAATAAAAATGTACTTAAGGACGTCTGTTTAATTTAGAATCTAATTTACATAAATATTATTTTCGTCAAACTTAGCTTTCGGTGTGATTTCTTTGTGAAATACCAATTAAGAGCTGTGTATCATTATATCGTAAAGTAGTTTGAAGGGAACCAATTTAAGAAAACAGCATAATAACAGCATTGGCACATAAAAAAATATCAATTTTATCTTTGAAAATTATTCGATTCGATCAATTATTTCGAATTTATTTCTCTGTTATTTAAAGGATTTATGCGTATAAGTTGTTCTCTTAAACGAGTATAGGTTCTGATGATTCTAAATACTTCTTACTTCTAGACACTTCTAGTATTCACGATTGATAATATTCATAAAAGATAAAAACTCATTTTCGTTTAAAAGTGTACGGCATGAAGCTAACTTATGCGGGATTTACATTACGAAATTAGTGTCATGCATGCTGAGCTCAGTTTCACGAAAGTAGTTTTGATATATGCGAAAGTTATTTCGTTAAAAAATTTGTGTCTCGAAATCCACAGTATCGCAGTAACCATGGCGCCTTCAGCATCAAAGCTATAATTTGCTATATTCAATGTAGCTAAAGAAATGCTTATATACCTATAAACTTAAAAAAAGACTATCAAGAAAAAAAAGTTGGTAGATTCGAGGATGGTCAACAAGAAGGCATTTAGGTTCAATGAAGTTAGTCTGAATTAGCAGATGAAGATCCTGAGAGTTATAAAAACTGTTTTCGAATGAGTGAAGATAATTTTGATTTTTTACTGTAGGTGTTTCGGATCCCAGAGACACTTGTCGCTGATATTCACTAATAAGACCAATTTTTTTTTCTGTACTCCATCGGTGGTTTGCCATTTTCAAGGCTTGAAGCGCGTCCGAACTAACAATACACACGTCCGCACAGCGCAGGCCCTTTCGCCAAAAAATCGTGCAGGGTACGAAACTAATTTGCATGCATTACGAAAGTTTTAAATTACACGTGAAACTGTTGGTAAAACTAATGTCACGAAATTAATTTCATGCCACTAATTTCGTAATGTAAATTCGCCTTAACAAATGCCAACCGACTAAACAAGCTGTAGAGATGTTTCAATTTCATACCAGAAAGAGCGCATTATTGATCAAGACTTAATAACTTTTTTTTTTTTTTTTTCCTACCNAGCGAACTAACCCATAGACACAGCCCACTGAGTTTCTCGCCGGATCTTCTCAGTGGGTCGCGTTTCCGATCCGGTGGTAGATTCTGCGAAGCACTGCTCTTGCTAGGGTCAGTGTTAGCAACTCTCCGGTTGAGCCCCGCGAGCTCACCTACTAACGTTAGGGCGAAGCTGAAATAGCCTCTCAAGGCTATCAGCATAGGAAAAAAAAAAAAAAAAAAAATCAATAGTATGTTCAGTAGGTCTGAGAATCGGCTACTATCTATTTTTCATACCCCTAAGTGAAAAGGGTTGTCCACCCCAAACATTTATTTTTTATTTTAATTTTTTGGATATATTTTTTTTGTTTATAATGAGGTATTATGTTGTTAAATGAGGATTTTTTTCTACAGTAGGATTACCCTAGAAATCTTATTTAAGGCAACACAACGTTTGCCGGGTCAGCTAGTACTTTATAATACTCTCCGGGCTTCTACAAAATTGCTGCATTTCTAGATATTTATCTATGAATGATTATTCCGATTCCAAGCAATTTATATATTCTAATATTGGTGGTAGGACCTCTTGTGAATCCGCACGGGTAGGTACCGCCACCCTGCCTATTTCTGCCGTGAAGCAGTAATGCGTTTCGGTTTGAAGTGTGGAGCAGCCGTTGTAACTATATTTGAGACCTTAGAAATTATATCTCAAGGTGTGTGGCGCACTTACGTTGTAGATGTCTATGGGCTCCAGTAACCACTTAACATCAGGTGGGCTATGAGCTCGCCCACCCATCATGGCAATAAATATATATATTTTTTTATATGTTGTATGTATGTATATGTTTCCAATATAGGAAAATAAATTTAAGAAAACGCTTAAAAACGCGCATTATCTAAATTCAAACAAGTAACATTTATTACGATGAATAAATAATGCTCAACGAGTTATGTGTAATTCGCTAAATTTAATGAATACACAATTTCCGAGAAGATTAATTTAATTATGATTATTTACATTTTGTTTTGGTACACCTGACGCCAGCTCAAACCGCATCGCACACAAAGAGCGAATATTCATTGAGTTAAATTTAATCATGTTTTTTTATCGTTCCACATTAACAAAGCAGACATTTTCCTCTTAAAACAAAACAAGTACTTTCAACACTCTTAATCAAAATACCTTCTTCGACTAGATTGACACCAGATCCTTGAAAATAACCGATGCCATCAATGATTTAAAAGTAACATTAATTTGCGTTTGTTTACATATTGCGGAAAGAGGTTAACTCACTCTTCACCTGATGTTAAGTGGTTACTAGAGTCCATAGATATCATAACGGAAATGTCGTTATCTTGAGACATAAAGTAGAACAAGACAAGAAGGGTCGTCGTACCCCCTTTCGGGGGCACGGAACGGGCCTCGGGGCAAACCCCACTGCCCGGGACGAGCTCCCTGCCACATAGGGCAGGGGTGAAGTAGATGCGGGGAGGACTTGGGGAAGGTACGCTGTTCGCAGCGTGCACGGCTGCACCACATCGACAAAACATATATACTTATACATAATACGATGGGCTTGGTTCTCTTGGGCGGAGTGATGCCCGCGGAGGAGTCACCCCGGCGCCGGCTGCTGTCCTCTGCTTGAATTTTTTTTTTTTTTTTTTTTTTTTTTTTTTTTTTTTTTTTTTTTTTTTTTTTTTTTTTTTTTTTTTTTTTTTTTTTTTTTNTTTATATTATTCATATTTTTATGAAAAATGATATTATGGAGTGAAATGAAATGAAGATGATTAATTTGAGACACTAATCAACTGGGATGAAATTAAATGAAATGAATTGAGATGATATGGGATGAAATATAATCTCAGTAAAATGGTGGTCATTTACTAAGATTTTTTCAGTGGACTTTTTGGAGGATCCCGAGAAGTTACGTCCAGCTGCTTTGTTTCATTTTCCCACATTTGTGCACTTTCACAGATATTAAACAGTTAATAAACCACCATTATTACACATTTAAACCTGAAGAAACACTAATTAGACAAAATAAAACAAATGACCCAACTTCACTCCTCGCGCTCCCGCCAAAAAGTCCCCTTCCTGTATTGGAAAAACGACACCAAAGATTATACACTAATATCTACCAATACTAGGCCTTGTGCCTAAACATATCTCTATTTAGTCTCGAGCCGCTGATAATGGCCGTTTTCCAATTACAGCACAAGAGACAATTAACAATTATAATTACAAGACAATTAACCATTACTTAATTGTAGTTTTCCAATTACAGAGCATAATGCGACTCAGTGACGCACAATGCCGAATTATGCCGAAACTTAGTTGAGCATTATGCCGCATAATGCGCTCTTGTGCTGTAATTGCAAAACGGCCAATAGTACACTTGTCCAAATCAGTGTCTCAAATATATTAAGTGTATAATCTATGATTAAGTGTATAATCTATGGTCCAGTCAATATATTAAGTGTATAATCTATGGTCCAGTCGTCCCCCGCTAAATCGGCCTGATAAGATAATTCATGTCCTTTAAAAGCGGCATGTTTAATATCCCGAGTATATCAATAATTTCTTCGCATAACTAGTTATTTTATGATCTGAATATACATTTATTTTAGTGTCTTTTAAAGTTAACACTAAATATCAATAGGCATTTAGTTCATACTCATAGTACTTATCAAGCTGTGAAAGACTAATTTTGATCTAAAACAAACGGAATACTGTACATAAAACAACGTTAACCATGGAAAATTCGAAAATATTGGAATTTTTGGAATTGGTAGGGCGCCTTAAGGTGAGACAGTTTTTTATTCCCACACGCAGTTAAGACGAGCGGCCCATTTGTTGTTAAATGGCCATCGTCGCTCGTGGACATCAGCAATTTTGAACCCCATAAATGGCTCATTTTAAAATTTTATTTGAAGAAAAACGACCATTCAATAAGGTATGTGAACAGCACAGAGGCCAGGTCGTGACAATGGCATTGTCGATGTGCATTAACAGGTGACCATTCACCATTCAGTGGCCGTATGCCCATATGCCTATTAAGATAGTAGAAAACTCAGCCTGATTTAGTATTTGGTTTATTTACTGTCCTAATTATGGTAAAAAATATTTTTGTACCATTCCCAATCAATTCGTTATGTAATTTCTTGTTACAAACATTTACATTACCAAACTTCGTTTATAAATACGTAAAAAAATCATCTTCAATTCCTTTGTCAAAATTTTTATCTAACCTCTGATTTAACCTCTATTGACTGTTATTGATTGTTATCTCTTAATAGATAAAAACAGGAATATAGAATTTATAGAGTATATATTAATAGTGTCTTAACAGTAAAGTAAGTAAATAATGTATTTCCTAAGATCAATTGTGGAGCCGAAGGCAGGTCGATCTTAGTTTAGTATAAAATTTAGACTGAAAAATAATTATATAAGTATTCTTTCAAGCTATTGATATAATTCTTAAACCAATATCTACACGGTTCTATCAAAATTAATGTTTAACAATTTGAGGGCTGCCTCTGTAGGCAGTGGTTTGGCTCTGCTCCTGGCATTGCTGAAGTCCATGGGCGACGGTAACCACTCACCATCAGGTGCGCCGTATGCTCGTCTGCCTACAAGGGCAATAAAAATAATAATAATAATTCACCTGGCTGTTGAGTGGTATAAAATCATAGTTAAAACAAATTCACACAGGTATCATAGTGAAGAGCTATCTATCCCATTCTCCCCTTTCCATATCATTTCCATAATACGGTGGTGAGTTTCAGCAATATGTGAGCTTAGTATGTGCATCTAACTTCCAGGGCCATGTACATACTCTTCAGATTTGAAATTGTGTATAGTATATAAATTATATATGGAGATAGCTGCGATTTTTCATTAGCATTAATGCATGTGACTACATAACAAAATCAATTAGTACCAATGAATCAAATTAGCAAAAATTGGTAAAGTAACATTATTTTGTACTATAATCAATACAACCTTATCAATCTGTTTCAGCATGTCAAAAGAACGGGTTGGATCCTCTGTGATATTAATGATTGTGAGACAATAGCCGGCCACATGTACAGGATGGGAATCATGACATTCTTACTAACAGAAGAAAATAATCCTACTAAATTGGACAGATTAAAATGTCTTCAAATAGGTGAATTGCCATTGCGAACAATATTAATTTAACATATTAATGCTCAGCCTACCATTTTAATATATTAGAAATTTATTTAAATAGAATCAGGTGGACCACAGACATGTTTACTTTATGTGACAATCAAAAATGATTTTATGCTGCTAGTTACTTCCATATATCCAGTATTGACTTTACATTATGCTGCTAATATAATTATCTCTCCCTTAATGCTAAAAAATATTTATTTATATATTGTTGTTGCGTGCAACCTCTTTGACAGGACATGTGACCTACAATAAGGGAACGTACCCATACTACGTGACCCGTTTAGGGGGGGGAGCGGAGTCTTTAAAATACTACGGTCAGTCACAGGAGCAGGGGGGTGGCTCAGGTTTTTGTCACATACTCGATTTTAGTGAGAGAATGTTGTTCTTTTTATAATACATAATTCACTAGTATTTTAGTGTGCATGCAGTCTTATGCAATAAAGACGAGTATGAACCAATTTTTTTTTTTTCAATTTTTGCCTGTGAAATGTTTAAAAATCATAATTATGAATTACTACGTGAAAACTAAAGGGTGAGAGGGGGGTCTTGACATATACTACGAGTGATCACCGAGGAGAGGGAGAGGTCGAAAAAACTAAAAAAATAGGTCACTTAGTATGGGTACGTTCCCTAACAAGAAGACATAGACTGGAGACTTGGCATTGTGACTTTTTTTAGACTTAACAAGACCACAGAAAAAAAGTAAAAATGGTTGATTCTATTATTTCTAAAAACAAGTATTAGAACCTTATTACCTTAATGGAGGACAAACAAATGAACTGACTGTTCATATACAATTATAGTGAAGTGCTAATTGCTGTTTCGAAGCTCTTATTTGTGGTGAGGTATCATATGAGCTCCATTCCAGCATCCTCATTCTAATTTGAGGTGTCAAGGCCATTACATGTAGCAATATCAATTATATCAGGTAGAGTTTCTTCCTTTTGTATGGTAAATCTCATCTGTTGTTTTTATAAGCTTATAGTATTATGAGTTTCTGTATGGTTTAAGTGATGAATTATAGTCATTAGTGCCTAGTGACATAGTTTACAACCAATAGTTTAATAGCTTATCATATAATTATCATACTTTTGTGATTTACAGCTCTCATTCATGACTTGGCTGAGTGCATTGTTGGAGACCTCACACCTCACTGTGGAGTGAGTCCTGAAGAAAAACACAGAAGAGAAGATGAGGCCATGAAGACAATTTCAGGACTAACTGGAATTGCTGGTGATAGAATGTATGAATTATACAAAGTAAGAGAACAATTTATATGATATATGTAGAAGGACATATTTCTTTTTTAATGGCACATTTTTGCGACCATAAATAATGATTTTACTATGCTACAACAGGATGTGTATATTTTAAAGTACAGTCGACAAGAAGGATAATTGAGATAGCAAAATAATAAGAAGTGTTTATTTTACTGTTTTGACAAAATTATTTTTAATGGCCTTTTCAGTTACTTAAAATTTATGCAATTTGCTTAAAATATTATATAATGAAAAGAAAGCCTTGCCAGATGGCAGCTTGGTTGTGCCCATAACAATACTGATGTTTATGAGTGACAGTGACCCTTAACATCACTTGGACCTTATACTTATTTACCTATATTGGCAATGAAATACTAAAAGATGTCTTAATTTTGCCAACACAAGGATCCATGAATATAGGAAGATAAGATTGAATTCCGCCCACACTTCACTGTGAATGTCAATAAATATATTAATACATAACTACTCGTTCACCTCTTATTGTATGTTGTAGTTTAAAAGAACTTTCGACGAAATGCTAGTAACGACTGCTTAAAATGTACTGCGTCATTTTACACGGTAACAACAACACAAAACATCAAAAAATATATAAAAAGATAATTGTCTCATTCATTAATTATTATTTTATTTTTAGGAATACGAAGACCAAAGTTCACCTGAGGCTAAATTTGCTAAAGACTTGGACCGTTATGATATGATTCTACAAGCATTTGAGTACGAAAAACGTGAAAATACTCCAAAGAAATGTCAAGAGTTCTTTACTGCAACAGAGGGAAAATTTGACCACCCGTTTATACAAGATTTAGTCAAAGAACTGTACTTGCAAAGAGAAATCTTTGAGAAACATACCGTTGTCAATGGTCATGTGTAAATGCATAATTATAGTACATAACTTATATGAAATATGATTCCTCAAAGCTTAATATAATTTTGTCTAGCATGGCTAGATGTGATGGCTATAGGCTGCCTATCTATTATTTTTTATCTGTTATTCTTTTCTAAATGTAGGAAATTATTATTGTTATAAAGGCTAACCTTTTTAAGTTTCTCAGAAACTGATGCTTTCATAATAAAAACTTTTGTTGCGAAGCACATCATATTAATTGTATTTAATTACAAATATTTAAATGTTACCTTCAAAAGTAAATGACAAAGTTATTGTAATGTTATTAATTATAAGTTATTAATACATATTACTCTCGACATTAAATAAAAATGTACTTAAGGACGTCTGTTTAATTCAGAATCTAATTTACATAAATATTATTTTCGTCAAACTTAGCTTTCGGTGTGATTTCTTTGTGAAATACCAATTAAGAGCTGTGTATCATTATATCGTAAAGTAGTTTGAAGGGAACCAATTTAAGAAAACAGCATAATAACAGCATTGGCACATAAAAAAATATCAATTTTATCTTTGAAAATTATTCGATTAATTATTTCGAATTTATTTCTCTGTTATTTAAAGGATTTATGCGTATAAGTTGTTCTCTTAAACGAGTATAGGTTCTGATGATTCTAAATACTTCTTACTTCTAGATACTTCTAGTATTCACGATTGATAATATTCATAAAAGATAAAAACTCGTTTTCGTTTAAAAGTGTACGGCATGAAGCTAACTTATGCGGAATTTACATTACGAAATTAGTGTCATGCATGCTGAGCTCAGTTTCACGAAAGTAGTTTTGATATATGCGAAAGTAATTTCGTTAAAAAATTAGTGTCTCGAAATCCACAGTATCGCAGTAACCATGGCGCCTTCAGCATCAAAGCTATAATTTGCTATATTCAATGTAGCTAAAGAAATGCTTATATACGTATAAACTTAATAAAAGACTATCAAGAAAAAAAAGTTGGTAGATTCGAGGATGGTCAACAAGAAGGCATTTAAGTTCAATGAAGTTAGTCTGAATTAGCAAATGAAGATCCTGAGAGTTATAAAAACTATTTTCGAATGAGTGAAGATAATTTTGATTTTTTACTGTAGGTGTTTCGGATCCCAGAGACACCCTTGTCGCTGATATTCATTAATAAGACCAATTTTTTTTTCTGTACTCCATCGGTGGTTTGCCATTTTCAAGGCTTGAAGCGCGTCCGAACTAACAATACACACGTCCGCACAGCGCAGGCCCTTTCGCCAAAAAATCGTGCAGGGTACGAAACTAATTTGCATGCACTACGAAAGTTTTAAATTACACGTGAAACTGTTGGTAAAACTAATGTCAGGAAATTAATTTCATGCCACTAATTTCGTAATGTAAATTCGCCTTAACAAATGCCAACCGACTAAACAAGCTGTAGAGATGTTTCAATTTCATACCAGAAAGAGCGCATTATTGATCAAGACTTAATAACTATTGTACCAATATACGCGTTGGCGTAACCTTTAGCACTTTACTAATCGATTTCAGTGATTTGTTAATTTTTCAATTTATTCATTAATTTATCAATTCGTGTATTTCTAATTGTATTAATCAATAAACTTGACTTTAATAAACACCTTTGTTAGCTACCCAGTAGTTTGGCTTTTTAATCATTTCGATTTTAGGTTCTGTAATATATCACATTAATTTTCAAACCTGCTTGAACAGTAAATAATATTCGTTTACTGGGTATAATAAGTACCTATACAGTTACGGTGGTGATTTTTTTTATATTGCGTCAAGTATAGCCAGGTATGTCTTGGTTTTTGGGAACAATACCCGTATCCATGGACTAGTGGGTATTGTTGGTTAACAAAAGTTTGACAATTGACAATAAACAAAGAGTATAATTATATGTATGTGTATGTGTCAAATACATGGTGTGTGTGTGTAATGTTTTTTTAATTGATATAATGTATGTTTCATGCATAATTAAAAAAAATTTAGCATTATGCACTCCTCCTCTGTATTCTCTATAAGTGTGGGAAATTTTTTAATCCTCCGTCCGCGCAATTTTCGTAAAAAGTGGTACAGTTTTTGCTTCACGTATTAATATATAGATAATGGCTATGTGCACGACAGTGGCGCCCTCTAGACTGAATATGAAATCGTGTCGGTTTTTTTGTTCAAAGTAATTAAAATTAAATATAGCTATATTAGTAATAGTCGTTAGAAGACATATAAATAAAAAAGTAAAACTATACATATATATTTATATACATCATAACTAACGAGTACCTAATGCTGTCCCCACCAAATACTTCACATGTAGCCAATATTAAAATTGACTAATGTTTAAAGTCTGTGGTCAAATTCCGAATAGATTAATATTGTGTCTATAATGTTATTTATTTATAGTGTAAGTTTTGGCGAAATCTGTGATTATATATTATAGAAATAGTATTTGACAATAGAACCATAATAATGTTTAAACATACAATTTCCATTAACATTATAGTCGAATTTTGACTACTGCAGGACCACTAGTACAGTCTAAAAGCTCAATTAATTACTATGTGCATTCTTTAATAATTAAAAACGTATCTTATATTTTTAAGATTTTATTATAAAAAAGGATTTTGGGTTGCACAATTCTATACATACAAACCTATTCAGTCAAAATCAACATTCAAGATTTGCATAAATACTAATACATATATGATTGTGACAATCCTCACACCACTTTTTGATATTCAGATCATTCTCAGTTTCAACTCAGCTCCGCTTTCATAACATGTAGTTTAATACTAAAGAAAACTTGTTAATCCATAAATTAGGCTTTATTTAACTGAATATTTGTGAATTACTATTAAATTTTAGAATTGCTTACAACATATCACTTGATTAAATTTTTCACTCTTGACGAACAAGCTCAATTTTAATGTTGACACATAATAAAAATAGAGCAGTCAAGAATTTCTTAAATATGAGATTAATTTGCTGCTTGCTTATGATGTTTCTTTGCTGCTAACTCTTCCTCTTTTTTTCGTTGTTTTTCTCGCATTAATTCAGCATCCCTGAAATTAACAGAAAGGTTTAACACACTGTCGCTATCAAAGAGATATTGTTGATAAATGTTTTTGTAAGGCAAACTATTTTTCTCTAAAAAGTATATAATACTATTCATCTATACTTTTGTATTGTAATGTATATATATATGCATGATAAAAAAAGTAATGAAACAATATTATCAAGTTATAAATATCATCAAACTCGATTGAAATTAGTAGACGTTTTTAGCCTTACTGCAGGTGTCAGTCAGCCTGATATCCCGATACAACACAAATGAAGGATGCTCCAGAGAATGGATAGTAACATTCTCAGATCATTAAGCCAAGAGTACTGCCAATCACCAAAGAGTGTTTATTGGTGGTAAGGCCTATTCTAACAATCACAAGTAAATTCCAATGCCATTTCAGCCTTATATAATACAATTGAGACTTGGACCTCATGCTCAAGATGAATGGCAGCATCCATGTTGTCATGGGATGCGGTAACCACTTTACACTAAGTAGACCATGAGTTTGTTGACCCTTATCAGATTGTATAAACTTCTAAGAGTCTAAAACACTATTTGTTGATAATGTGCAAGGAGTTAAGCAACTTTTCTGTCACCTTACGTCTAATAATTTGATCCCAGGTACAAAGTTGGAACTTAACCACATTCTGGGCTTCAAAGCTCAGTCTTTCATTTGCTTTCTGTGAAACTATCAGTTACCCAAGGAATTGCTTATCAAGTCCCTCCCACCCAAACATAAAATAAACAAAACTTAAGAGCATCAATTTGCAGCCTGGGCCAGATTATCTGAATATTAAATGAACTAGAATACACAATCCATCCACAAATCTGTTTGCAACATAACAATGTTCAATAAGCACTATTCAGCTATAAGTAGCCTTTGGTAATTTAGCAAAGTGTAACTGTTAATTTAATCAAATAATGCCATTTATTGTACTGTTTCTACCTCTAAAAATAATGTAGCACCCATAGAATTTGGTTCAATATTTAATTTATTAAGTATATACCATTTTCTTCTAATGATTTGCTGTGTGATTCAGTGAACTACTAAAAACCATTTAATTAATAGCAAAATGTTTCATTTACCATTTTCCTTATAATGTGAAATATAAATGCCTGTATTTAGGGTGAGTTATTACATTACTTGAGGTACAATATACTGGTTTGCTGTATACTTCAAGGCATTAATTAAATGTCCATTAAAACCAACTGACAAAGTTTTTTTTTATAATTAATCACATCATCACCTGTGTTTTCTTTCTTGTAGGGATAAACCAGTCTTTTCACTGGCATTTTTCTTTTTTTGCATTTCTACCTGTTTCTTTTGGTTTTTGGCGCGGGCCAAGTCCCTCTGATTACCACCTGAAAAAGTCACAAAACAAAAAAAAAACAAAAACAGATCTGATTAAACCAACTCTAACTCTGTAAAAAATGCATTCGATTTCAACCTTGTATTCGGATCAAATAAATTTTAAAGTTAGCCGTTTCAAAACTATTGCAATACGCCGTATTCTAGAATTTTCTGCGGAATTTGATCTCATTAGGATTTACGTTAATAACACACCGAAAGGGATCAGCAAATAATAACTTGTTTTAAAATTGCACTATATTATTATATTAATAGAAAAATATATGTACTAACGAGTCATTCTGATTAGATAATTTCACAAAAGAAAAGTTCACGTTTGTTGCAACTTAAAATTATTTTACAAACACAGTAAAGGCCGGACGATACGCTAGCCCGGTCGAGACCTAGGACAACGCACCGCCCTCCATTTCACCAATAGGAGTAAAATTGGAAAAAAACTTTTAGCAATAATTAGCGTATACAACACAAAGGCCACACACCGTCGTCAACCAGCTGGCCATAACCAAAAACAAAATTACGACATTTTGGCATAGTCCTCTCAGTAATAGTTCCGTTTTTCTAACATAAAAGGCGAAGATATGATACCATACTGCCTATTCGTTTCTTATAAATTCTGTTACATAAAAAATGATGGATCCAAAAATGATACCTAAGGATGCTGAGGCCTGTAGCCATTAAACAACACAAGATATTTGACAGATGCCTGAATCTCGCTTACGACATTTTCATAAGTTTAAATATGTACTAGTTCCGAACAACAGCCCTAAGCACGTCATTACGGATCCTCACGATCCATTATCGGTGCTTTTAGGTAACTCAAGCACCGGTCACCGACCTCGCCAAATCCGTCGCTTGCGACGAACGGCTCGACGAGTAAATAAACCCATAGACAGCCCACTGAGTTTCTCGCCGGATCTGTTCAGTGGGTCGTGTTTACAATCCAGTGGTAGATTCTACGAAGCACTGCTCTTGCTAGGGCCAGCGTGAGCAACACTCTGGTTTGAGCCCCGTGAGCCCACCTACATGTCAAGGAGAAGTTGAAATAGCCTCTAAAGGCTATCAGCATGGGTAGGAAAAAAAGATAGAAATGGCTAGCGATGTTAGTGTTATATTATATACAAAATTTAATTAATTGCTTAATTGTGTAAAGTTGAAAATGTAAACTATATACCAAGAACCTTTTTTTACGTTGGGGATCCAGTTCATGGATACCCAACCCATAGGGATTAGTCCATGTCAGACTCCAAAACGACGACCGACTAAACCCCATAGATCCATTATCTCTTGACGTCCGATACCACCCGAGATGGAACTTGGGCTAGGGTAGGTACCTAGTTAGTTAGTTAGTAGGGGCCGGAGGCGGGAATAACCCGAACATCCCGGCTCCTGTAGGTAGCGGCCTCCCTCCGGTGAAAGTCAAGGGGCGACCTGAGGGGGTAGAGGCCGCGCGGCGTGCTACCAACATTCTAGCGCGCTGCCAAGGAGTAATAGAGCGACCTGTCGACGGTGTATCGCGTCCCGACCCGGCAGGCTGGTTCTGGTCCAGCGAGGTATTCCGGGACACCAGCGGCACCGTCTGGGCGGCCTGACGGGCTGCCGTACCGAGACCGCCGACGTTTCAGAGCCTTCGATTCGCCTCGAAGGCTCCGTCGGCTGGGCGTCCTTGGGGTGAGCCGCGCCGTCTGGTTGTAGTGTTGACCGCGGTAACCCCCCTACCTCATCCGGGTTCTGACCTCGGAGGGGATCGGACGTCGGGTGTAAGAGTGCAGGGGAGTCGTTTAGTACCCACTAAAATTCCTTGGGCCTGCGGTCTGCTCCCAACACCTTGCAGATCGTTGAGTCACACATAACCGCGCGCCCCCTAGGCGCGGGGACCTCGTAGGAGGTTCGGCCCCCGACACGAAAAAAAAAAGAAGAAAAAAAGGTAGTTAGCCCTACGGGCGATGAAACGTCGAGGCGATCCGCCCAGTCCTCTCGGACTGGGTGAATCCCGAAGACGTCTCACCTTCCGAGCGACGCATGTACTTACGGAACACGGCTATTTCGGTCGCTACCTGCACCTCGTCGCCCGGAGGGAGCCGATGCCGAAGTGCCACCACTGCAGCGGCTGTAAGGAGGACACGGCGGAGCACACACTCACGTACTGTCCTGCTTTCGCGGAGTGGCGCCGCTTCCTCGTTGCAAAAATAGGACCAGACTTGTCGCTTCCGAACGTCGTGGCTACAATGCTCGGCAGCGACGAGTCTTGGCAGGCGATGCTCGGCTTTGCGAGTCCACCATCTCACAGAAGGAGGCGGCGTAACGAGAGAGAGAGAGCTCTTCTTCGTGTGCCCGCGCACCATGCCACCCCCACCAAGCTGGGGTTCGGAGGAGGGCGTTCATCCAGCTCCAGCCCCTGTGAGGAGGCAGTTTCCTCCCGGTGACGGTCACAGGGCGACCTGAGGGGGTTGAGGCTGCGCTGCACGCTACCGCGCCGTCACTCTAGCACGCTGGCACCAGGCCGCGTTGTCGTCGTCGCTGTCGTCCCCGAATATACTGTGGAAGAGCAACCCGGTCGGCGGTGTATCGCGTTCCGACCCGGCAGGCTGGTTCTGACCCAGCAAGGTATCATGGAACACCTGCGGCAACGCCTGGACGGCCTGGCAGGGCCGCCGTAGCGCGGAGATCGGCGTCGTTAGTCGTCGACTATCCTAGCCTAGACAACCCGTCAACGCGTCGGTCGGCCGTCCTGGAGGTGGCGGCGCGGCGTCGCGAGTATGGTTGTAGTGTTGACCGCAGGAACCCCTTACTCTAACCGGGTTCTGACCTCGGGTGATGATCGGACGTCGGGTATAAATATGCAGGGGAGTCGTTTAATGCGGTAGGGCCCTGAAACTTCTTGGGTTCGCTTTCTGCTCACAACATCTGCAGATCCTCAAGTCCCACGTACCCCGCGTGCCCCCTAGGCGCAGTGATCTCGTAGGAGTATTTTAGAAGTAGAAATTCAACAGAGATATTATGTAGTAGATACCTATCTCTATATAGTCTGTGACACGACTACAACACACAGTGTGTGGGAATGGGTTAAATTTGGTTCTCAAATATTAAGTGTTTAATCTGAATTTGGCTACACACGTTCTCCAAAGGACTTTTTGGCGGTAACACGAAGAGTGAAGTTGTGTGATTTGTTTTATTTTGTCTATTTAGTGTTTTTTTATTTTTAAATGTGTAATAACGGTGGTTTATGAACTATTAAATATCTGTGATAGTGCACAAATGTGGGAAAATGAAACATTTCATTTAATTTCATCCCAGTTGATTAATGTCTCAAATTAATCATCTTCATTTCATTTCATATCATTTGACTCCATATTATCATTTTTCATAAAATAAGAATAAAAACTAAAATAAGACTTGGCCTAAAGATCTTAGTTACCAGGTCATAAAATCCCTTAAAAAACGTTCTCCAATAGTCTCTGTCTCTAGAATCTAGATTTATGTTTGTTTGAAACGTTCGTTGAAGTTCGTTGCATAGATAATATACTGTCAAAATGTCGGTAAATGCACAAATGCATTTAAACAGCAATGCAAATATTATAAAGAGTGATAAAACTATAATAAAACCTTTATTCCCTAAACGCGAGGAATGTTCTCATGTGTCCTGTTATTGGTATGTAGTAATTTCCGCACACTTTCTGAAAATTCTTTGTTGAAATTTGCAATAATGTCTCTGTTTATTCAATTTTTTAGTGAGGAAAACGTTTGGAAACTTTGCCAAGACGTTTCATTGAGAGTACCCGAGGAATTGGATAGATGCTATGTCGTTTTCATTTCGAACCCTTGCCGCACAGTGCCTCTTTGGAAACAAAGGGCCGGGCGTGAAGAAGATCGTCTCGTCATATGGGTGTGTACCAATACATCGTTTTTGGTTTTTGTTTTGTTGTTACTTAGCTTACAATCAATAAATCTATTAACAAGTTTAACATTCATGAATTTTACAAATTGTTGACATACATACATATTGTATATAATATTTTTTTACGTTGTTAAAAATAAAAAAATAAATTTTGCAACATTTTGAAATGGAAAATAATCTCAGAAAATAGATCTAAAGTATATGAATATTGTTCAACTCTATTTATTTAACTTATTTTTCTGGTTTCAGGATTATCATGTGATATTCCTGTATTCTGTGGATATCAAGTCTTGTCTTGTATATGATCTTGATTCAGAATTACCATTTCCAACATTTTTCCACAAATATGTAACAGAAACTTTTCGCACAGACCAAGTCCTCAAATCAGATTTCCACAGGTAAGATTTACTGATTTAATTAAAATATAGATACCTAGCAGTTTTTTGTTTTGTGTTTAGTTTTTTGTACCCCTGGCATGATTGGTACCACTTACAATCGAACGGGCTATAGGTATGCTTGTTGTGGCAAAAATACACTCAAATTATGGTTTAAGTAATTTAATAAAGTGTCCCTTTAAAAGAAATGTATAGAATATAGTAAAAAACTGAATTTTCATTAAAATTAAAACTTAGCGAAAAAATATTAATATTATAATTTAAACATTTTAAATTGGTGGTTGGGTGTTTAATAAAAAAAAATATGTTTTAGGTTCTTTCGTGTTGTGACTGCAAAACAATTTCTGCAACTTTTTTCATCAGATAGACGTCATATGAAAAGACCAGATGGTTCATGGATTAAACCCCCACCACCCTACCCAGCAATAAGCACTTCAGGTTAGTGAGCCACACCCATTGTTGCATGATAAAGTATAATTATTAAAATGAATGAGGTCAACTTTTGTTGTATGCTAAAGTAGCCATGGCAACATTTGATACCTTCTAGCTACATGGGCTTTGATAGTTTGTATTTAATATCAGCTATTTTAACATTAAATAATTTAGAAAATTGATTAAATATAATTGAATCAACCTTTGCTTGCATCTCATACTTTGCTTGATAATAAAGTATGTTGTCACAAAATCTTAAGGTTTTATTAAAATCTGACCTTTCAGTCTCAACACACAACTTGGATGAGTACATCAATATGGATGTAGACACAGGACCTGGGCAGGTCTACAACTTGACAGATTTTGTCCAACGTTTCTACAAAATTAACAAGTAGTACAAAAATGAAGCCACTAGATAGTCCTAAATATAATTTAGTTTAAATTATCTTTATAATTGGTTTTTGTTGATTATGTTTTAGTAATCTGTTAGTAATTGTTTTTGTACATCCCTAAAAAATAAATCTGTGATTCGATTGCCATTTAGTAAATATTAATTTTAGTACAGTTTGACAACATTACACTTTATTTGATAATGATTTATTTATGTGTGAATTTTTTAATATTTTTCCATACTTATTTTAGTTGACATAAAAGGACTTGAAAAAATGATTTTGAGTAAACACATAAATCACATTCACTTTTATCTTTTAATAAAATGATAAAGCACACATTGATTTAATTAAAATCACTCACTACTAATAATTAAGAACCCATGACATACAAGTTCGTGGTATTTTGACATTAAACACAACTATAATAAAAAAAAATTACATACCTTTATTACTTACTTGTTAAGTGCTTTCTATCATCATGTTAGTATATTATCTAATATAAAAAGATTATCCTTTTAATAATAAGCAAATGGCAAGTTAGATAGATAACTAATACTTATAATAAAATTTGTAAGTATATAATCAAGAGGCTAGTGCTATAATTTCTAATATTGAATTGTAAGTAAGTAGAGTTTTAAAATTTTATTTATTATTAGGATCGCCAAAGGAATTTACAACATTGCATGACTGTACTTCAAACAATGAAATGTGGGCTAATTGCAATTCTCATAACAGGCTACCATAAATTATAAAAGAATTCAATGTTAATTTTGGTGAGTAACTATAAAACATAAGAAAGATTATTTGATACTTGTTATGACTGAATTAAACTTTATTTACTAAATTTATGTTATCTTGAGTGATAATATAAAATTGAAGTAATTTTTATTAAAATGTATATTGTTGTGAGTAGCTTTTGTATGTTGTTAAATCTATTTCAAAATTTTGTAACAACTTTTATACACTTCTTTATTCTTCCCTAGCACCCTTAGTAAATATAAATTTACCTTCATGTTAATCCAGAAATTATAACAATTTTATTGGAATGAAAATACTTGTTATATTCTTAAATATTTATTAAAAATTTATTAATATATAACTGGTTATAAGGTTTTAATTGTATCGCTTAGATTTTTAACTATATTGCTGTTATAATTGGCGCAATTTTAAATGCATCAGCAAAATGAGCAAATCAAGAATATATAAAATTTATTACAATAACCTACTATATTGTGATTATTGTTAGTTTAATTTATTCGACATTTATTCTTCAAAGAACCTAAAATGCATTAATTATTGTGCCCATACGTTAACTCAAAAATTAAAGTAGCATACTAGATTTAAGAAGAAAGCAGCACAAATTTTAAAATACCCATAAATTTTACTTAATCTTAAAAATGTATTTTATCAATGAGAGCATATAAAAGCACTTATCATTTTCCATTTCGTATTTTCTGCAGGGTTTGATGATCTGTGTTCATAACTTTACCGATTTACTAGTCAATGTTTTAATGTTAATATTGTTATTCACGCTTTTGTTTCGTGACAATTTGTTGTTTTAGTGTTTTTAAGTGTGATAAGGCCAGCAAATATGAATAAAATTTACTAGGTAATACCATTACGATAATGAAACCAAAGTTACCTATATAAATTTACAAATAATACCTATCTAATGCTTCATATAGGTTACAAGAAATAAATAACCTTATCTTAACAGTTATCAGTTATTACCTGTTTAAATTACGTAACAAAAAAAATCAAAATATCATAATCGCTCGCGATCAATTTTTACAAATTGCTAATGTTTTTTCCTGTTAGTATTCACTTTTCATCTTAGTGTAATATTATTCGAGGCGTAGCTGTAAACTTTACGGGACCAATAAGTGGATGTAATGATCAACCCATACGAGTGACTAAATAAATAATAGATTAGAAGAATGTGTAATCGTCCCACGGTTGCGCCTTTTATATAAAAAAAAAAAAACACTATAATTCCGATACCTTCCTTCTGCTTACGTTTTCTCTAATTAGGTACTGATAATCTCAACTGATAAAAATGCGCTTTGCTTTAAGTGTACCAAAGTTACATTTTTATAATTTACGGGTAGACTGAGGTATGCGACAGATCGCGTAGGCGAGGCAATAACCAGATCGCGACATGCAACGGCGTACGATGATACAACTGCAGAAATTGTAGTCTCGTGTGTTTTTTTCATCCTCGCATTCACAATGGCGAAGCAATACGCTGTAATGCCATTAGTCTCGCGTGCCGCGCTCTGTCTTGAACTGCAATTTCTTAAGATTTAATGTGCATAAAATAAAACACTACACGCTACTCTATTTGTTTTATTCGTATCGTAATTTATCTCTATTATGGTAACTATTAATAAATTTTTTTTTAATATTTTGACTCCAATATTAATTTGGCCTATTCTACTAGGGCCTTTCTCAATTATTATTCATCTTTGTTTAAATTATCATTCCGACATTGAATTATATTATTTTGTGCTACATTTTAACCATACTAATGTTAACAATAAATAATCTGTATAATTTAATCTTCAAAACGTTAATAATTCATTTCGTTAAGATTTCTACTCCATCATTAGTAATTAATACGGTATGTTCGATCTGAGATGTTCTCGATCCGTCCTCTGTTAAAATCGTCCAGCCATCATCTAATAAGACAGTATTTTGAGTCCCATGTGAAACGACTGGTTCTATTGTAAATGTCATTCCTGCTTTCATTACTCCTGGATAACGGTTTCCTAGAACAAAGTTTGCAAATTATTTGCAAGTGTTAAGACCTATTGCAGCACTGCAGGTATGGTTGGATTTCTATCGCAAGGCACTTATGCAAACTATGTAGAACGCAGCGGGAACTACAATACAACAATGAAATTTCAACCGCGTCATAGTCGCAAAATGTTTCGGTCCAGGTTATGATGTCTCAGTAGTGTATGACGACCTCAGTAACCATTTAAAATCAGATGAGGGACTAATGCATTAAAAATAATAATATAAATTTTAACAATCTTTAGGTAATAATTGAAATCTTTTGAGCACCATCACAAACTGATCGATGCCACAATGGAGTGGACGTCACATAGAATCGTGTAAGTTGAAATCTTGAAAGATAATTTGTGGAAAAAATTACTTATGTGATAAATATCTGGTGGCCCATGAAAATACTGTCCAATTCCATGACCCACAATCGATGGTATAACAGTGAGGCCATTTTTACGTGCGTGCCTTTGAATGCTGGCGCCGATTTCACTGAATGGTACTCCTGGCCCGCATGTTCCGATTCCCTGAAAAGTTGCAATAATAACATAATTACAAGAAAAATAAAGAACACAACCAATATAGAACAATTGTAATTTTATTATTTTCTTACGATTCCAAGACATTGCTCGGTGATTTCAACTAGTTGTAGACCTCTGTTGTCTACATTACCAACTTTGAAAGTTTTTGAGCAATCGCCATGAAAACCATGTAAAAATACCTGTCAACGTTAATAAAATTTAAAGTAGTTATAATTGTAATTGGATTAAACGTACAATCCTTGGACACAAGCTTTATGTTAACTGGATTTTTTAGTTTGATTTGCAATGACAATAATATTTAACATTCTGGTGTTATACTCAAAGAACAAATTTAAAGAAACGCAAAAAAGCGTTTTATTTTTCACCTGTATAAATAATCATGAAAATTTTGATTGCTTTAAACTGCAGAAAATTTCCTTTTTTTTTATTTGGGATTACATTTAGGTTTTTCTAGTGACGAAGTTGAAATCGGCCGCAATAACTTTTGGCTTGACTTGACCAGAGGTTCATGGAATGTTCTCGAATAAATTTTTCTCCAAAGACTTAAACCGAGAAAACGGAATGACGAAGCTTGGAATTGTTTTAATCATAGATGAGGCGATGTTTTGCCTGAAGCCGGATGATGGAAGGTTTCGTGTGGTATAAGCGCAGTGCATCTTAAGAAAAGAGGTTTTTGTGTTGTCCAGTTGGTGCACCTGGTAATGAATACTACAGAGTTTGGGTTGCAATAAGGTGTAGGTATTTTATGGCAGAGGGTCAGTTATATTACCGAGTAAACATTTGGGCATTAGTGGAACTAGAAAATTTCCAGATTGCTGATCGGTTTCGCATGATAATATGAGCCCATACAGCATGTATGGGATACGTTTAGAAGACCAATTAAAGAAATAAATTCTGCCCAGCTAATTTGAGAATCATAAAAGTAAAATACTAGAAGAAAAATGCCATCTTTAAAATCTTAAATAAAATAAATGTAAATTTTATTAGGGATATCGCAAAGAGACTGATAGAAAGCAGTTCGAAGAGTTGGAGGGGGAAACACTAAGTATTAATTACCATAAACTACATAATAGCATTTCATATGTAGAAAATAATTAATAAAATGTGACATGTAGAAATGTTCTATCCTTGTTTATTTAACTTTGTTTTTTGATAATTAGTTTTTTTTTACATTTTCAATTTTAAAATAACAAATAGGTACTAGGCAAATTTACAAAGTAATAAACTTATTTGTCAAAATTATCCACAGCATTTAATTTTTTTCCCATTCCTCTACATTTGTCCACGCACGTAAACATATTTTAGATCATATTTATTCAGGGAGTGAGAGAGCTAAAACTAAAGCAGCCATATCAACAAACATTACAAAAAAATAGACTAGATTCCTATACCATTCCATTTCGAAGCTAGTATATAATATAGTTTCTTTTATTCTCCTAGAAACCTTTTCGTGGAAACAAAGTTTGGAAAAATAGGCATTTTTAATACAGGGCGTCCCAAAATAAAGTTCATATTTATTGGATCGAAAAAAAGTAAGCTTTGTATCGAAATATTGTTAATTAATTATTAAGGTATCTACACAATTTGGGAATTTAAGTCTTGCTTAATGGACTTTTTTGTTTTCCTATCTAAGCTGATGGTCTTGAGAGACCATTTTAGCGTAGCCCTAACAAGTAGGTGAGCTCACGGCTCAAACCCGACGTCGTTGCTAACACTAACAGCCTGGCCACGGGACATTCGCCGATACGAATATTCGCGCGGTGCGAACGGCGAAGCGTCTAGCGACTAAAATAAGCGCATAGAAATGTACCTAACAAGCCACGCGCACCGGCGACCGGCGAAATGTACCGAGCGAATCGCGCGATGCGGCGGGCGAGCAAAACAAATGCATGAATACGGACGGCGCGAGCCACGGAGTCGAGCGGTAGTCGCGGCGAATAGTACAGTGATTAAATGAGTTTAGTTGTTTTCGCCGCGAAAAATTAACGCCGAAATTTTTATATTTTTTATTTATTTTTTATTTTATATTTTTAAAGTCGTCGTGGCCTAACGGACGTCCGGTGCAATCGTGTTGAGCGATGCACCGGTGTTCGAATATCAGGCGGGTACCAATTTTTGTAATGAAATACGTACTCAACAACACTCAACGTTCACGATTGATTTCCACGGTGAAGGAATAACATCGTGTGATAAAAATGAAATCTTCAAAATAATAATTTGCGTAATTACTGGTGGTAGGACCTCTTGTGAGTCTACACGGGTGGGTACTACCACCCTGCCTATTTCTGCCGTGAAGTAGTAATGCGTTTCGGTTTGAAGGGTGAGGCAGCCATTATAACTATACTTGAGACCTTAGAACTTATATCTCAAGGTGGGTGGCGCATTTACGTTGTGGATGTCTATGGGCTCCAGTAACCACTTAACACAAGGTGGGCTGTGAGCTCGTCCACCCATCTAAGCAATAAAAAAAAATATAGCTGAAATACTAGCTAGACCAGCTATTTGGAAGTCTAGCCACCCAAAGTATTTCTCGTACTTCTTGTGGAATTCTCCATCTATACTAATCTATAGGTATACTCCGATTCTTATTCAAATCATGTACTTCACAATCTTTTCCAAATAATAGGTCCAGAACCAAAAAACTATTAATTTGTAAGCAATATCGAGATAATTTGGATATGGACATTTCGCTGTCGGACTTCCTTACTAGTCGCGGCGGCGAACGTGAGTACCCGTGGCCTGCAAACGGTGCTGCGCGAATGGTCGCCTCGTCCACCGCTTCGCTGTTCGCACCGCCGATCCCCGTGGCCAGGCCGTAACGTTTGTAGGTGAGCTCACGGGGCTCAAACCTGATGACGTTGCTAACACGAACCCTAGCAAGAGCCGTGCTTCGCAGAATCTCCCACCGGATCGGAAACGCGACCCACTGAGAAGATCCGGCGAGAAACTCAGTGGGCTGTGTCTGAGAGTTAGTTTACTCGTCGAGCCCTTCGTCGCAAGCGACGGCTTCGACGAGAACGGTGACCGGATTTGTGGACGAGCTCACAGCCTAGCTGGTGTTAAGTGGTTACTGGAGACCATAGACATCCACAACGTCAATGCACCATCCATCTTGAGATATAAATTCTAAGGTCTCAAGTATAGTTACAACAGCTGCCCCCCCCCTTCAAACCGAAACGCATTACTGCTTCACGGCAGAAATAGGCAAGGTGGTGGTACCCACCCGCGCGGACTCACAAGAGGTCCTCCCACCAGTAATTACGCAAATTATAATTTTGCCGGTTTGATTTTTATTACACGATGTTATTCCTTCACCGTGGAAGTCAATCGTGAATATTTGTTGAGTACGTATTTCATTAGAAAAATTGGTACTCGCCTGAGATTCGAACATCGGTGCAACGCTCAACCCGAATGCACCGGATGTATTATCGCTTAGGCCACCACGACTTCGGCGTTGTTGTGACATTAACACCGTAGCCCATACGGTCACTTTAAACGAACGGAGGGGTTTCTGATGCTTGCGTTTCGGTTCGTTAAAAAGCGCTCAATTGTCTGACTTACGAAGTCAAGCCTCTGACTGGCTTCTGGGGGCTTTAATTCTTGCACTAATTAAATTTTATAGGGGTGCAGTTTTAGGTCTTTGTCCAAAGTGCGGTGTGATGATGATCTATGCACATTTAAAATACTGGCGCGCTTCCGAATTAAAAGGTTCAGCTCATCACAAACAGACTAATGAAGACCCCACGTTTTCTACCGTTCTTGACGACCTTGATCACCCGGATTTTGGTTTGTCCAGTGTTGTAACGGTCTCTTCAAATTTTTTGACCCATTTTCGAATAAGAGGAATGCTTGGCGCATCATTTAAGTGACGAAAGCCTCGAATACAGTAGTATTTTTTACGTGCTAGTCGCCGAATCACGGTTGTTATAAAACTCTCACAAGCACAACGCGCGGTCTACTCCCGAGAAACGCTCCATAGCGACTGAATTCCTAAGAGTCAGGCTACTGCTATCAACCCCTGAGCCCCTCAGATTCGTTGCGTTCTCGCAGTAAGCTAAATAAATATAAAATTTATTTTGAGACACCTAGTATATCTATAATAAATTATCTAAAGCCTTACTAAGAAAAATTACAAACATAAATACTGTTATATCAACATTGACAATATCCCCGTCAGACAGTGGCCTTAGATCAGGAATACCATGCACAGCCACATTATTGACAGATGTACAAATACTTTTTGGGAATCCCTTATAATGAAGTGGTGAAGGGTATGCTCCAGCTTTAATTATTAACGAATGGACTAGTTGATCAATGTCATCTGTTGTAACTCCAGGCTGAAAAATATTTATCATAGTTAAAATATTTGTGTTAGATTTAAAAAAAAAATTAATTACTAATTATTATCAAAATTAGTACAGGAGAGAATTGGTTTGAGAAATGAAATGAATGTCTTACACATTGGAAAATTTGGTATAAAGTTCAAAAGTTAATTCATAGCCTATTGATTGCTGCCTGCCATATCATGTCTAAAACCATCAATTGTCTTCATTTATATTAAACATTCACATAATGTTTCTGATTATGTTGGGGTTATAGATTATTAATTACAGTAATGGGAAATGGCCCGGAAATTTCAGTAGGCAGCGACTTGGCTCTGCCCTTAGCATTGCTAAAGTCCATGGGCGACAGTAACCACTCATCATCAGGAGAGCCGTGTGCCTACAAGGACAATAAAAGAGGCCACTATGAGAACAGCTTCATAACATTCTATTTATAAATTTTTACATTGAATAGTTAATTTAAGATTTAAATGGATTTTAACAAGAATTCTAAATTTGTCTACTTATGCCTCTGAAAAATTCACAAGCTCAGTTAATTTATAGAGTTATTGTAATAATAATAAAATTTTTATAAAATAACATTTTACATTTATTAATTTCTCACCTTTATAAAATTTTGTACTTGTGATAGAATAGTAGAAGCCAATTTACAACTAGTTCTCATTCCGTTCAATTGATTATCATCTTTAATCTCCGGTAAACATGGTAAGGTCAATTGTTTTCCTCTAGCTAAATAATCAGGTCTTTCAATGGTATCTGGTACAACTCGACTTGGAGTTGTTTCTACAGGTAAAACTTTTTCATAAATACCAAACTTTTTCCTGGGAAAAAAATTGGTATTTACGAAATATATTCATTAATTATATTAAATAAATTACAAATAGAAAAGTAAATGAGGACCACAATATTATTATATTTTTTAAACCTACTACTTACTACTCATGCAAAATGCAACAAAATGTGGTGCATTCTAAATAACATCCATGTATAACAATCACTATCATTAAATATGTGGTAAATTTTGATGAATTTACTCAAACAGGTGTGTAAAACTAAGCATTAATTATATTGCTGAAATCCTATTTGGTTAAGTACATAATATGAAAAGTGACTTACAACAACTGAAGCCGTTTCCTGGGATTAACGGCTTTCGGCACCCTCATTTCAGCCTTTTTATTGCAATTTAATGATTTTATTGCTAAGTGAATCTAGGATAGTAAAAAAAGAAAACCAGTGCAGTTAAAAACAGTTTTCACAATTTATACAATTATTAGTAAACAATGTAACAAGCAAGCATTACAAACAAATTTTGATGGTGTTCTTACACGTTACTCCTCCAAGATCTGCCTATAGATTTTATTATTTTAGTTGAGAGCCCCATCAGTACCGTACCATAAATTACCTACCTACTTAGATTTTTACTTCATTTTTAAAACATTCGGTATTTTTTTGTTACAATCTTCTATCACAAAAAGGCGAGAAAAACTAGCTCATAATGCCAAAGAATTTTAAAACAACACGATAAGTTTTCAGTGGAATGAATATAAGCAACCTCATATCTATTTCTATAGGGCTTCCGTCCGGATATATTATGTGTATAATGTATGCGTCCGGGCGTAGTTTAATAGTTAGAATAGAGTAGGTACCTAGCTACATAATCCCATAAGCTACCAGTCCAGGTTTCTTTTATTTAAATTATAGGCTTAGGCAGTTAATAAACCACTATTATTACACATCTAAACCCGAAGAAACACTAAATAGACAAAATAAAACAAATCACACAACTTTACTCTTCGCGTTCCCGCCAAAAAGTCCCAAAGCAAAGATTAGCACCAGCAAGCATAGATAAAATACGATTATATTTTAGACTAATTTAGACCTGCAAGTGATTTTTGTTTGTGTTCGAGATATTCGAACTGCGTGATAGTTTATAGTAGTTTAAACTCTAAATATAAATACTCTTTCGTTACCATTCAGATTTATTTGAATTAAAAAGAATGTCTCAAGGTAAATAAATGAGTTGCAGCTTTATTAAATATAATAACATCTTTATTGTTTTGTGGTGATTATGTTCCGAAAATTAAAATTTTCAGGTTCCGAAAAATCTGCATCTAATCATGACGTGGTGGATCCTACAGGTCCTGGGACGAGAAAAGGTGTTCTTATATCTTTCAGAACGGGAAAAACAATGGAAATACCAGAAAAAGACATAGTAAGAAAATCGTAATTATAACCTAAAAATGCCGGAATATTGTTGAATTCATTAATACATTTCTTATCATAACGTTTTGTTACTTTCAGTTAGGAAAATGTCGTTTTGTGGGAGAATTCGAAAAATTAAATCGCATTGGTGAAGGCACATACGGAATAGTCTGTAAGTTATTTGATTTGCTTCAATAACCTTGCAAAATTTTAGTAGGAGTTTGAAAATTCCTAGTAGTCCTTTTTTTTACCATATTGCTGATCGGTTAAAATATAAATGAAACAAAATTGTCAAAGATTGTTTCAAGAGCACCACATACTTCAAGTGCTTGATTAAGACCCATCCATTTCTTAAGATTAATGTAATACATGAAAATGAAAAATACAATTTGTCAGAGGCTTTTACTGAAGGAATCTGTCTTTGTTTATGTTTTTTTTTGTTTATTTTATGAATTTTTATTTGAAGTTAAGGTATTGATTGGTGTTGTTTCATATCTAGAATAACAAATCTCCGTATGCAATCGAGATTCCATCTGCATGAACATTGTTATAGTATTCGGAGAACAGTGAGCTCTACCTATTAAATAAACTATATATAAATATTAAACAGACCGGGCTAAGAACAAGGCAAATGGCAGCATAGTTGCTTTGAAAAAGGTCAGAATGGATGTGGAGAAGGATGGTCTACCGCTGAGTGGCCTCCGTGAGATTCAAGTGCTAATGTCATGTCGACATGAGAACATTGTGCAACTCAAAGAGGTGTTAGTTGGTCGTTCACTTGAGAGGCAAGTATGAATAAGCTATACTACTATTGTAATTTGGACACAGTAAAGTTACAGTTTGTTTCTAGAAATTCTGATAAGTTAAGGGTCACCCTCCAATCACCTTCTTTGGCCAACATATTCCCTGGGCCAGGAAGGTCAAGTACCTGGGAGTCACCCTGGATGCATCTATGACATTCTGCCCGCATATTAAAACAGTCCGCCATCATGCCGCATTTATTCTCGGCAGACTATCCCATCATATATAAACGGAGTAAAATGTCCCTTTTGAAGAGGAGAGGTGATACTTTACAAAACTTGCATAAGACCCATCATGACTTATGCGAGTGTGTTGTTCGCTCACGCGGCTCGCACACACATAGACACCCTCCAATCCCTACAATCCCGCTTGTGCAGGTTAGCCGTCGGGGCTCCGTGGTAAGTAAGGAACGTCGACCTACACGACGACCTGGGCCTCGAATCGTTCCGCAAACACATGAAGGCAGTGTCGGAACGTTACTTCGATAAAGCTATGCGTCATGATAATCGCCTTATCGTTACCGCCGCTGACTACTCCCCGAATCCTGATCACGCAAGTCCGTCATCGCCCTAGACACGTCCTTACGGATCCATCAGATCCAATAAGTCTTGCATTAGATACCTGATTTCAAAAACTAACGTAAAACAAATTTAAACTGTATCTAATTTTTAAAAGGATTGTCAAAAGGATTGCTGTTAAAAAAAAATACAAAATAGACATTGTCATCAGTTGTGGAATCTTTTGTGGACATTGGCAAAACGAGTGCATAAGGCGTTGGAGTCAATTAAAAAAAAAAAAAAAAACTCAAGGGCTACATTTAACCCTGACTACTAGATTACATTTGTTAATCATTTTACTATGTCAAGCTCACTGATAAAAATAGTCTTGTGTTAACATCCCATTAGAATGTAACAAAAGAATTGGCAAGATAGTTTTGTTAATTGGGTACATCGAAATTGAGAAGAATGACTAGTTATTTATTAATAATTATTATTCTACAAAATATGTTAATAATGCTAAATAAATGTTCAGGTTCAGTTTTTACATCCTCCCAAAATATTTCGGTTCTGTAAAGAAGTAGTCGTAGTTGTGTAGTAGCCTGATTGGAAGCACTACCTGTAGGTTTGGGATCTAACCAACTGCAACTATTTAGCTCATAAAAATAACAAAGTATTATAAAAAACGTTAATCCTAAATCTTATGAGTTTTAGGATCTTTAAGGACTTTTTAGGACTTGTTGTGTCTAATGGAAATTCTCTTAGATCTGAGATATTTGTTAGATTGCATAAAGAAGAAATATATTTACAAAGATTATATAAGTTTCTTTATATTCTTAATTATAAATATATTGATGTTGTTCTTTCAGCATTTTTCTCTCAATGGAGTACTGCGAACAAGATTTAGCATCATTACTTGATAATATGTCTTCACCTTTTACGGAATCTCAAGTCAAATGTTTGATGCTGCAAGTATTGAAGGGTCTAAAGTATTTGCATTCCAACTTCATTGTGCATAGGGACTTGAAGGTGTCCAATCTTCTTTTAACTGATAAAGGCTGCGTCAAAATAGGTAATATATAATTTTTTTATCTGACTAAAAAAAACGGGTTGCTGTAGCTTTTTCTGTTCGTCAAATGATTTTCATTTTGTTTAGTAGTTATAGATGATTGCATTCGCAAGTCATATATATTTCTTTAAATTTGTTGTTTAATCAAAATGTTAATAACAATACAAAAATGATAATATAATACAAAAGATGAATTTAATTCTTGAGTCATCAGTAATTATAATAATGGGTGTATATTATTATACCAAATTATAATAACAATTTGAAATTTTATAAAAGAAAAAAGGAATGTAAGTTTTAGTTACTTGTTCTGATTAGTTCAAATTTTTTTTAATTTTTTTATTTTTCTTGAAGTTTTTATTTATATATCAAAATGTTCGTTTTAATCTGTGTTAGTTACTTTTTACATTTTGTTGTCGATGTCCAGTGCAGACGGTATTGTGGTCGTCGGAAAAAAAAAGGAAATTTTGCGACCAGTAAAAAATTGTTTGTAACCTTTCACAATTATTTCTCAAATATTATTTCTGAACTTTTTTAGTTCTAGAGCTGAAATAAATAACGAAAGTTAAAAATTTGTGTCTAATGTGAATCATGGTTATCAATGTTTTTTTTACAAGCACATTATTCAATCAATGTTGGTTCTTGTAGAAACAATGTTTGAGATTTGTTTTCAACCTATGAATTATATTTCAGCTGATTTCGGTCTAGCTCGTTGGTTAGGCGCCCCGGCCAGAAGTGCAACGCCTCGTGTTGTCACCTTATGGTATAGGGCGCCCGAATTACTTCTGCAGTCACCACGACAGACACCTGCACTGGATATGTGGGCAGCTGGATGCATTCTTGGAGAACTTCTTGCCAACAAACCATTGCTCCCCGGAAGAACCGAGATAGAACAGCTTGAACTTATCGTGGATTTACTTGGTAAAAATCATATTGCATAAATTACACAATCAGATACATAAAAAAGTGACGTGTCAGACTGATTTATTAACAATTAGATGACACTGATGTATCTATCTTGAATTTTGAAAGCCCAACCTGGTCTCTGTATCTCAAAGATAAGACGTTTCTATATGGCTCTGGCTATGATGGGAATTCGCTAGGAATTTAATCAACTATCTAATCTAATTAACTCTAGGAAGTCACTTTAAGCTAAGGTATCTTTCTGTGTAGTCTGTCACACTGCAGCATGCTCTGCATAGAAGTCATCTACAACAAATATATGTTTGTTTTTATGAGTACTAGTGGACGCCCAGTAGTCGAAATTCGACTATAATTAATTGAAATTAAAACTTTGTGCACTATTATGATTCTATTTTCAAAGACTATCATAATTCTATAGTCACACATTTCGCCAAGACGACACTATAGAAAAATATTAATAAAGACAAACAATATTTAATCTATTCTCAATTTGACCACAGACGTCAAGAACAAAAGTTTGACAATAAATAAATAGTATGCATGCGCTTGTGCGTCAAATACATGGTAGTGTTGTTTGTAATGTTTTATTTATTGATTTAATGTATTTTTAGGCATAATTTAAAAAATATTAACATTCTGCACTCCTCTATATTCTCTATAGGTGTGGAAAATTTTATACTCCTCCGTCCGCGCAATTTTCGTAAAAAGGGATACAAAGTTTTTCCTTCACGTATCATCTTGATAACATCTTATGTTTACAGGCACCCCATCGGATGCCATTTGGCCAGAGTTTAGTGCACTGCCAGCGTTGCAGAACTTCACTTTGAAACAGCAGCCATACAATAATTTGAAGCAGAGGTTCCCGTGGCTCTCGGCTGCCGGCTTACGGTTACTGAACTTCCTATTCATGTACGATCCCAATAAACGTGCCACGGCCGAAGAGTGCCTACAGAGTTCATACTTTAAAGAAGAACCTTTACGTAAGTAAAAATACTGAAATAAAATAAATAATAAAATGAAATGTACTCTGAGGAATTGTTCGAGATGATACCGTCATCTCGTTTTTACCATCGCACCGCCCGCCATCGAAGTAGAGTTCATCCATACTACCTGAAGCCACTGCGGTCATCCACAGTGCGTTTCCAGAGGTCTTTTTTGCCACGTATCATCCGGCTATGGAATGAGCTCCCCTCCACGGTGTTTCCCGAGCGCTATGACATGTCCTTCTTCAAACGAGGCTTGTGGAGAGTATTAAGCGGTAGGCAGCGGCTTGGCTCTGCCCCTGGCATTGCTGAAGTCCATGGGCGACGGTAACCAATCACCATCAGGTGGGCCGTGTGCTCGTCTGCCTACAAGTGCAATAAAAAAAAGGATTTTTCTATCAGCTCTGATGAAAAATACCTGCGCTCGAAGCTTTGGTCAGGCAACGTAGTTTTAATATGCTTTTATGAGCTTAAGCTATACCATATCACAGTATCTTTTAACGTAAATTTCACAAACTACAAGACTTCAATTTGAGAATTTACGCACGCACGAAGGACAGATAAAACAAAATAGGATGAAGGAAAAATAAGTTAAAAATAATAATAATAAAGCACGTTTTTTTATAGTTTTTTACTTTTAATTATATTTAGTTGTTTTAGTGGAACATTTACTATAAACGATTTGTTGTTTCATTTGCAGCGTGCGATCCGAAATTAATGCCCAGCTTCCCACAACATAGAAATATGAAAGGACAAACAAAGGCGACGTCAAATCAATTGAATATACCACTGTCCAATCTTAACACGGGAGCGAACGACCAAACAAACAATCTACCAGCTATTTCAGATTTACTGGGGTCGCTGGTCAAGAAACGCAGACTAGAGTAGATAAGATGTATTGATAAGTTGCGGAGTACTAATTAGGTTAAGAATTTACTGATATTTGAAATAAAGATTTAATAGGTACGCTAAATTGTTTCATTTGTGGAATGCCTCTAAAAAGCGTGAAAATCTAAATAAACCCATTTTAATATGCGTGGAAAGTGTTGGTAATTAACAGGCCAAAAGTTCTAGTCGGTAGATCCGTCTTCGTCACCAGAGAGTCCCATTGCTTGTCTGAACTTTTGATACTTTTGCAACGTTGCTTCACTGATTTTTGCTTTCGTTTTATCTTTCTACAAAAACAAGATTAAAATTAAGGTTAAGATTTCTTTATATTTTAATAGAAATTCAACAGCGGCGTCTCTTACATTTTCTTTTTCCTGTTTATCAATGTTTTTCAGTGATCGTGTGCACTGCGAACACAATATTACGTCTTCCATGTGATTTATAGTCTTTTTGCGGTGGTGATGTTTTAAACTGAAAATAAGTTCAGTACATAATTTATTAATGATATACTGAATACCTATATTTGAAGTGAACAGTAAAATAGGTGGGTGCTAAATCTGTCTGAGTGCCGGGGGGACATCTCGCTTGGCTATATGTGGCCGTTAAGTCAAAATGTTTTTAAGTCGGCTGATCTTAATGAAAGGGATTTTAACCTCGACTTTGATCACTGCCAATATTCCTTAATATTGCTTAAACCTACGTTATAACTAAAGTAGTTATAACAGTCAATGTCAAATTTCTAAAAATCGAAATTTCAGTTGGTGCTGTGAATCAATTAATTATGTTTCAGCAACTTTAACAAAGCAATAAGAAACCTTTGCTAATAAATAAAAACTTGTTAATGTAAAGTTTAAAATTATTGACATTCAAAACAAACTAACAATTTGCCACAATAATCGCACTGCAATCTCTCAGTCCTGTGTGTGATTATATGACATCCTAATTCGCGGTAGGTAGGGTACCGCTCCGTACATCTTGGGCATATTATTTTTCCTTCAGACCGACCACCGTTGCTTTGATGTTCTGATAGTTCTTGTGACGTTTGAAAATTATGGTGGCAACTTGGACACCTGTGACATAAAATCAATGAAGTTCTAGACTGCAATCGGTGCGAGGCTATTAAATTATTGAAAACTAGTTTTTAATGGCACAGAGAAGGCGCCATAGCATGGTTTCACATGGCGGTCGCTCACAGTGAGCCATCAGAAGGCCTAAGTCATCCAAAGAGCAATGGAGATGGTTATCATCGGAGTTTCCCTGCGAGATCAAATCAGGAATGAGAAGATTCTCAGGAAAACCATAGTAACCAGCATAACCCAGTTGAAGTGGCAGTAGGCAGGGTACATTGATCACATTGGTACTCGTAGAACAAATGGCTGCCGGGGTCGAAAAGTTCTCGAGTGGCGACCGCCTACCGGAACACTTAAAGTGGTCAGACCTCCCACAAGGTGGGTCGACGACCTTTTGAGGTTCGCGGGAATCTGCTGGATGCAGGAAGCGCAGGGCCGGTCGTTGTGGCAAGGTTTGGGGGAGAACTATATCCAGTAGTGTCGGTGGGTCGAAAGATAGACGAAGAAGATAAATAGTTTTTCCCTTACATAAAAATGTTTGGCTGTAGATGATAAGCCATGTGCTCGATAATTTTCTTGGGATAAAAGTAGTGGAATTTCTTTTCACAACATGTAACATAACCGGGAACACCATGTCTATCTTTATAATGTTTCATCAGAGATCTAAAATTGAAACCACTCTCATGACACACACAGCACTCCATTTTGTAAAAGAGCGTTATTTGTTTATCCAAAGCGGAACCTTGTTTGGCAGGTTTTCCATCTATTAGAACCACAGGGTCTAGTGTGCTATTGCCGATTTCAAGATGTTCAGCTTTCGGACTATTTTGTTTGACTATTTTAGTTCTTATGGCGGGAGAAAGTCTGTTTTTTGGACTTGTGCCTAAGAGATTTTTATCAACTTTTTCAGTAATCGCAAATTCATCAAGCGACATGGCTTCCATTAGCTTCATGTCCAAAGGAGATTTTTTGAGAACAGGCTGAACAGGTTTTTGTTTAGATATTTTTGTATCTCCATGCTGTCGTTCTGGCGAGGGACTTGATTTAGCTGTCTCGGAATTTTTATTAGATTGTTTTAAATCTTCGACTGAGAGTGCTCCTATTAATGGTGTCATTTTATTTGTTGTGCCATCTTGTTTGTCACCTTTTGATTTTTGTTTATGAAACTCTAAGAATTTTTGGGTTTTTTCTACTTTCACGGCATACAAATGTAGAGTTGAAACTTGTTGCAGGCAATCGTGGCATATTGCCTTGGGTAGGTTGTCGTCTGCTCTAACCTGTAACATTTAAGTAATTCCTCAAATCTTAAAACATAATAATATAAGCTATAAAAGAACATAATGTATGAATTCAGCATGCAAAGTTAATGTTTAATAGCGACTACAAAACGATACATACTGTTATATCGAATAACCTCTTGAGTTTTCTCTTTACTTCATTGCTGAGAGGTTTGAGTTTCACTACATCAGTACAAAGACACAAACGGCAGGACAGTTCACGTACAATGATTTTCTCCAGATTACCGAAATCGTTCATTCTGTTCTTGAACTACGTGGCATTACAAAAGTTAAAGTTATGTTAAATTGTACATGACCGAATTTTAGATGTTTTTTTTTCTGTGTAAATCTAATATCCAAATAACCAAACTGACTCAAACGACATGACACTTTGATAGGTACGTAAAGACTTAGGTATTATTTATTCGTAGCGTAAAAGCAATGTAAAACCTACTGATCATATTCTCTTTGGCTAAGTAGGTACTAAAGTTTCATTCTGAGCTTGATATTTAAGTAGTCGAATAATAATCAAGAAAATAAAATGTATTTATGTATATACACTGAAATTAATTTGAAGTAATCTAGCTTTTGTTAAAGGATTGAAAATTGTGCGATACGTTTTAAATAAATCTGTATCTTGCCACAATAATTCAAAGGTACATTAACTAGAGAATGCTCTTTCGATTCGATTTTCGGTTATTATCTCAGGAGTACTTACTTCACAATATCACGACCACGTGTACAAAAAAAAATTAAGGCGGCTTGAATATTTCAGTACACTACATTTTCATCAATTTTTGTTGTGGTGAAATTTGCCTTTAGTTATGTTCGAGAGATTGATTCGGATTTGACTACCGTAGATTTTTCGGAAATAAATAGTACGTTACTATGAAGTGGGCAACAGAGTACATTTACTCCACATTGACACCGCCTATCTTTAGACAAGAGGTATGAGTTTAAACTATGGCTATATCAACTTGACTTGAGCGCATGACTGCTTAATGGAAGAAATGGGCAGATTGAAATAGTTTTACCCAACTATGCGGGGTTATTACCTTATACCCTACCGCACCTTATATTCTACCGTATCATAATGTCCAATATGTTAAAGGATCTATCGAAATGAATATAGCCAAATAAGTACAACCTTCATTTAAATAATGCTTTTCGATGTGTGCCATCGGCCTTTTTTTATTGCCCTTGAAGGTGGACTAAAACACGATACCAAACAGAGAGCCAGTCTAGAGATGGGAACTGTAATTTACGTGTGGCTGGACCTGTGCTTTGTAAAGCACAACTCTTTATCCAGCGAAGTACTGCATCACTCTGTTGAGGAAACCCAGCATTTTTGATGACGACATGGCTTCATATTCCAAATGATTACGATACTGGTATCGCGCGAAATGTCAGTCCCAAGAATTGCAACATTGTCAGAAGGTTGCAGGGATAGTACTTGGAACTGAATATGAAAATTCAAATTTTAGGAAGATTAACGTTTCAACTACCGACAAATTTCCGCAATGCTTTATTTAAAGGCCCATTTATACTAAGCTTGAGGTTTTCTTATTCGTGTTCCGTATTCGACTTCTGACTGTAGTATTGTAAACAAAAATGTTCTATATAGCCCATACGTTTGTTAATCTCCGGTATAGAGATATTTGGTAGTATTCATTTCGCATATCCATGGAAGAGTTTTACTGAAGTTTTTTCAGACAACATTTCCCGTACATATTTCCAAATGCACCAATCACTGAAATACCTATAGAGTAGGAATATTTACATTTATTTTCGGTAAGAAAACAATTTCTCGTGTTAATTTCGAAACCTGTCGGCGTATTTCGTCATATGTCATAATGAATTGCTAACATGCAAAACATATTGATGTATCAAGCTATGAATTTAGTATCAATTGGTATGAATTCATTGGGCTATGTATCCACACCGTCTTCAATATAGTTACTAGCTTGAATTTGCGCCAGTTCAACTTCTAAGAGCGACAGCGATCAACCACCTTAAGGTGGGCTACGGTATGCTATGTCTATCTATAAAAACAATAAAAATAGTAAACACTTGCTATGGATAAATTTGTATTGTTTTTGAGGCTTTGTGTTTTTTATAACGACAACATTTGGCGTTCAGTACAAATCACTGTACCCCCGATCACCCTCTTCGGCCAACCTATACCCTGGGCCAGGAAGGTCAAGTACCTGGGGGTCACCCTGGATGCATCTATGACATTCCGCCTGCATATAAAAACAGCCCGCGACCGTGCCGCATTTATTCTCGGTAGACTCTACCCCATGATTTGTAAGCGGAGTAAAATATCCCTTCGGAACAAGGTGACACTTTACAAAACTTGCATAAGACCCGTCATGACTTACGCGAGTGTGGTGTTCGCTCATGCGGCCCACACACACATAGACACTCTACAATCCCGCTTTTCCAGGTTAGCCGTCGGGGCTACGTGGTTCGTGAGGAACGTCGACCTACACGACGACCTGGGCCTCGAATCAATCCGGAAATACATGAAGTCAGCGTCGGAACGGTAGGTACTTCGATAAGGCTATGCGTCATGATAATCGCCTTATCGTTGCCGCCGCTGACTACTTCTCGAATCCTGATCATGTAGGAGCCAGTCACCGTCGACGCCCTAGACACGTCCTTACAGATCCATCCGATCCAATAACCTTTGCATTAGACGCCTTCAGCTCTAACACTAGGAACAGGCTTAGGGACCCCGGTAACCGTACTCGTCGAACTCGACGAAGAGGTCGACGTGCAACCTAACTCATGCATCAGGCCGCTGAGTTTCTCGCCGGACCTTCTTAGCGGGTCGCGATTCCGATCCGGTAGCAGATTCATTCGCGAAGCAATTGCTCTTGAGTTGTTAGGGCTGAGTCACACCGGAATGGCAGCGGCCGGCGGCGATGCCAGCGGCCCCCGGCGTCGCCGCTGGCGGCCTCACGCGGCCTCCAGACTGCCCGCGCCTAGTCTCCTCTTGACTAGTTTAGTTTCTTCATTCCGCAATGATACTTCGTGTGTTTGTAGTGAGCGTGATAGAATTGGTTATTGACCGCGGTGCCGCGAGCGGCCTTGTGTCGCCGCTGGCAGAACAACCGACAAGACGCACGTGGCGCGCGGCTGCTCGCTTCACCGCGGGCAGGCGGCGGCTGTGTCGCGACATTTTCAAGCTTTGGAAGCGATACTGATCTTTTAAGTATATAGATAAAGTTTAAAATTATTTCACACTGAAATTGCTCGCCGCGACGCTGCCGGCCGCTGTCATTCCGGTGTGACTCGGCCCTTAGGTCTCCTTCGAACGCGCTCGGGCAGTTGTTAGCAAATCCCATCCCTCCTGGCTGAGCATTTGCTCGCCCACCTGTCCTGGTGAAACTGGAAAGGCCTTCGGGCCACCAGTAATCTTTCAATCATAAAAAAAAATCACTGCACACTGAATATCAGTTGATTTTAATTCTATAATACAACCTACTCTGACCACCGTAAATAATATATTATATATGTATTCATACGTGTTCAGTACATCCATATATGTACTGTACTTCGAACAAATAATAGCGTTACATTTTCTTAAAAGGTTGTTTTATCAGTGAGGGAGCCGCCTGGGTCGCTCGTATCTCCACTCAATACAATGGCATTCTCCTTTACTATATAAAATAACATTATTATATATCAAAATAATCACTATGTTTTTTGGAACCATCAAAAACTGTAACCTAATCATCACAAAACTTGTTTTGGGTATTGATTCAGTCGACAAAAATAATTACAGAATTAAAACAATGAAACAAAAACAAAATAATGAAAAATACTTCACAATTTAATTGTAATTCTAGATCAACTTTCATAACAATACGGAATGTATGTATACAACAGAATCTAACAAGCACGTTGGATAAATGACTATTAATTTCAAACGCCCAGCAGTAGTAAATTAGTTTGTAGTAGACGGAAATTGTGTTTAGATTTTGACCTTCACGACTCTTCTAAATAATCACGGAGCGGGTAACTTTAGTTGGATTAGGCGTTCCTTAAGTTGGAATTGTCCAATAGTGAAATTTGCAGGAGCCTGCGGATAAATTAAAGGGAGTCCCGTCGTATGGGAAATCAACCTCTTGGAGCGGTAACTAAGTGGATTCCTGATTGCACAAAAGCCAAGTTTCGGCTAAAGACGTTATATATTTGAGGACATTGTAATGAACAAAGGACTGTAGTCTGATGAATATGTGACCCCTTTGCTTGTTATTTAATGGAAGGACATAAATAATATTTATAAAAATCATTTTATTCAACATAAATAAATAAAATAGTATTTGCACTGTTGATAGGTAAGTTGTGTGAATATTTCTCACATTTCTACCTATTTCTGACGCGTATCAATGATGCGTTCTGTTCTGAAGCTCCGTTTTTCCAACTTAAGACTTTGGATTTAACGATCGCATAGTCTAGAAATTAGTATTCATGTGCACGTTCATATAACAGCTCCGGTGATAGCTTTAGATGAGATGAACCACATACTCGGCAGCCTATGTATGGGAGGAATAATTATACATGTTATATAACCGAACAAAAAAGAAATATCATAGAATAATGTTTAACTTTGTTTATTGCTAATAATTTAAAGTGTAAGCCCGGGGTTTTATTTGTTTTCTCAATAATACCTTCCTTGACCATTTGTCTGGTAAAGGAAAGTATTAGGTACTGAAGTAAGAAAATATTATTCATAATAATATTGCATTTAAATAAATATCAAATGTAATTTAACAAAAACGATATCTCCGTAAAAATATATTTCATTAGTGCTAAAAGGAATTGAATGTTTGACGAACTGGAATCAAAATCAGCCTGTGAAAATGATTGATGGCAATAAATGAAAAAGCACTGTTAAATTAGCTCAAGTCTGTGCACGAAAGCCGGATTTCTTTTAATTTTATTCCGGGTTCGTCTTATCTTTATGAAAGTAATAAAGACAAGAAGAAGACAAAGTATTCACGTGAGCTGTGCATAGATGTACTTATCGTGGTTAAATTTTATTTCAATGAATTTACGAGAGATTAACTTTGAAACATATTTCATGTTTCCGATAATAATATTATTTTATATCATGATAATGTTACATTTAAATTATTGTACTTAATATTTTTTCACACCGCATTCTACATATTTTGTAAACATCTGATCGAATTATCTAGAATAAATATCACGTAATATCCTCCTCATTTAACGCATTCTCGATCAACCATTACAGCGTGCTTACAAAGTACTGGACGATATTTTGTTGAAGAATGAACATGAGAAATTGTTCGATTAAATAAGAAATCATTGTTCAATAATTGTGCATGTTGAGCATCCAAAC